TGAAAACCAGACTTCTTTTCAGCCTCTCAGCAGATTCTCAGGAGTGTTAGCTGACTTTAGCTTTCACATGCTTTTGTCCTAGATGTGGCAAATCCTTGTATAGTGAAGTACAGTTCTCCTAAGGGAATTTTCTTAATTTGTCATAATCAGTTTTGTAATAGAGTGGTTTGCTACTACAGGCAGTGGATATCACAACCATTTTCCCTTTTGTAGTAGGAAACCAGAGACCATGTTTGTTAGAACTAATACTTAGCAGCGAAGAATTTGAGTTCTGGAGCTCGTCAGGGCTTGGGCTGTACCCTGGGTTAGTGACTTATTTCCTATAAAAGGAAAGTTCCCGAACCACTTTAAACCTCAGTTTCTTCATCTTTAAAATGGAGGTAATACCAGTGCTAGAGTAGTCGTGCAGATTAATGAGATACTAACGAAGAGCCGTTACTTGGCACATAATAACAGCTTGGTAAATGTTAGTTGGTTATTATTATGATTATAGTGAAAGCGTGCAGTTGAAGTGAAAGCTGAGCCTGACAGATTGTGGACGGCTTTGATTGCCGTGCACAAACTTGGACACATCTGTGTTTACTGCTCAGAAATCCTTTTGTCTTTGTGATTTTTTTTTTTTAAGATTTTATTATTTGACAGAGACACAGTGAGAGAGGGAACACAAGCAGGGGGAGCAGGAGAGGAAGAAGCAGGCTTCCCGTGGAGCAGGGAGCCCGATGCGGGGCTCGATCCCAGGACCCTGGGATCATGACCTGAGCCGAAGGCAGATGCTTAAAGACTGAGCCACCCAGGCGCCCCAAGTCTTCATGATTTTCGACAGCGTTCAAAGTAGATGCGGTTGCTGTACTACCTGTGTTGTGGATGAATAAAGTCTTGTTATTCTTTAGTGGCATTTGAGGCAGGGGCTCACGTACATTTGATGATTTTTCTTGGATGCTGGCTTTTCAGCAGCAGTGTAATCTTACTGTGTTATTCTGATCTCTACTTTAGCAGTCTGAGCGCTGAGGGCAGTCTGAGGGGTAGCAGCAGAAACTTAGGAGGAGGTTGAGCCCTGTGAGGAATCTCGGTGGTGTTTCTGTCGTCCCTCTCCAATGTTGAAATTCCCACACGCTTCATAAAATACGTGGCTTCTCAGTGACTTAGCTAGCTGCTTTGTGTGTTTTCCCTTTTCTCTCTCCGATCAGTTATTGGTCAGCAACTTGTTGCCACCATCCAAATGTATTTAACATTATTCTAGGGAAGAAGAGGAGTCAGTATGTTTAAAATGAAAAATGTGTACTAAGCTTTTGGGGCATTTGACAAAGAAGATGGTGAGTGGGAAAAGGTCTCCAGTCTTTTCCCTTTTTCTTTCAGGAAATGTTCCAGTAGATTGATATTCATCCCTCTGAGAATTCAGTTGCTTGTTGTGACAGTGTTCTGGAATGGGGAGAGTGGGTCTGTAGGGGGAGGCTTTCCTTTCTGTTTCCAGTGAGGGAAAGCCATCAAGGACCCTGCCTCCTTTCTGGACACACATGCTCAGGCTCCCATCACTGTCACGATTTTGACCTTGCACAGGTCTCTTGCGCATTATCTCGCAAGGCAGGTAGTATGGCTCTTAATTCCATTCTTTTAGATGGGGTACACTGAGGCCAGGACACTTGCCTGAGATCCCTCTGATATCTTTGTAGGCTAGAACCCTACAAAGAGTTCCTGATTTAGTCCTGTGCTTTTTCCTGAAAGACCTGTTTCAGAGATAGTAAATGCTATGTGCTTAATTCACTGCCCTGTTTAAAATCCTACAGGGGCTCCCCACTACCCATGGACTAAACCCCAAACTCCTTAAAATGGCCTGAATCCCACCACTCACCCTGCCATCTTTCTCACCTCTTGCAGAATTACTTGCTTCTGTGTCTTTGCACCTCCTCTCTCTGCTTGACTGTCCCTTGAACTCCTGCACATTCCTTAGGAGCCACTTGCCTAGAAGCATTGAGGGCAGTTGGAAAAGCACGAGAAGCACTTGTTTGAACAGTCTCCCCTCTCCTCCCTCTTTTGGGGACTTAGGCTCCCTCTTGTGTGCTCCTGGAGCCCCACATCAATACCTTTATTCATCGCATCCATCATGTTGTATTACAGTTGTCCAAGAGTGTTGTGTTGTCTCTTCTCCCCCTGGACTGCAGACTCCTGTTTACCTAGAACTTGGTAGGATTCATTTAAATTACCTTTGTGTCTTATAAATCTCTTCTTTCTTCCTATGAATAAACCTCAGTTACCTTTAGAAGCCTAGCATCCTCTGCTTACAATTTATGTGTGTGTATAAATGTATATGTATATACAAATACATATATGTCTTAGTTTAGAAATGACAAGGCTAATCAGCTGAATGATGGCAAACTTGTACGAGGCTTTATGGTTTGGAGGCTTCATACATCCTCACTCCATCTAAAACCCACACACTGAGGCAGTAGATGCTAGTTCTGGCATTTGACTCTTTGCTGCCAGTCTTAACTGTGAGGTGGCAGCTATGACATGGGTCCTAATCCTATAGCCCTGGATATATTGTACATTGACATGTTGCAATATGTGATTCTAGTCATTTATGGTTTCTATACTGTTAATGCAATTGACCTAAGTCAGTAATTCCCTTGGTGACAGTCAGAAACCACTGTAACTAGTGTAGGTGAACAAGAGGATTTATTGTAAGGATGCAGGTGTGATTCACAAAACTGTGGGTGTGGCTGGGCCTCAGTAAAGCCTCGGAAACCGTGAGAGTCCCAGCCATGGTCGTTTGTCTGGAAGAGGGGGCTTTTGTCTCCACATAACCTTTTCATGGTTCTTGTTCTCTGCAGAACAGCTTTTTCTGCTTTACCATACTTGTGGTGACCAAATTTACAAAGTTGTAGTTTAAGTAGCCAGCTTGGTTAACTTCTTTTAGATCTTCAGCCAAATTAATTTGGGAAATAAAACGATTAGCTCTTCAAGGACCACTGTCCGTTTCCCACGCATTTCATGGTGAAGTGGTGGTTCACTCCAGGAACTTGGGGGAGCAGAGAACAGTTGTCTGGGGAAAGGGAGTTTTGGGTAGGACAGAATGCTAAAAGGTGTCTCTTGATTGTTTTGTTTATAGAATGTAAAGAAAGAATTCCACTAACCATTTCAAGAATTGATGTAGTTTTAAGCGGTATAAATTATCATTAGAAGATGCTACTTCTGCACACATAATAGTAGGGCTAGTCCTCTCCAAGCTGGCTGCAGTGTTTGAACTGAATTCCAAGCACTAGTCAAGATGATCACTAGTTTTCTAACAACTGATTGAATTTAATGAATAGTTTTGCTATCTCCTTGGAGAAAGATGGCAGACCTGTCAAAAATAATTGTGCTTTAATTTAGTTCTGTGCCAATGGCAGACAGTGAAAGCTCCAAGAGAATTTCTAAATTACCAAAACACTCATAGCATTTCTGTATGCAAGATGCACAACATAGGGCAATGCATCAGAATCATCTGGGGGAGCTTTTTGCAAAACCAAGGGCCCAGCTGGATCCCCAGCACTCTGATTCCTTACTCTTGTGGTGAGGCGTGAGTACCTGCAGAGGTGACAAGATCCCCAGATGATGTGACACTCTCCAAGTCTAAGAAGCACTGCCTCTTCAGAAGGACTCTATTTTTGGCATCTTTTGGGATGTAAACTGTAACCATCTCTAAAATACACCATGGTCAAAATGGGTTTTCTGAGGGGCGCCTGGGTGGCTCAGTCAGTTAAGTGCCTTGACTTTGACTCCGGTCATGATCTCAGGGTCCTGGGATTGAGCCCCCTGCTTTGGGTTCCTCCGTACTCAGTGGGGAGTCTGCTTGTCCCTCTGCCCCTCCCCCTCCTTGTGCTCACTCTCTCTTTATCTGAAATAAAAATCTTTTTTAAAAAATGGGTTTTCTGAAACAGCTATGATTTTCTTCTTCAGCTTCAAGATTTCAGTATTCAGTATTTCAGTCTGAATTCACAACTTCAGGAAACTCCTACCACATAGAGCCTCATGCCAAAGAACGAAACAAAACAAATTCTGATTTTATTTGTTAACCATGCTGGTTGTGTCGTGTAGAATTTTCCACAGTGAAGATTTGACTGGCTGCATCCCCGTGGTGTCATTTAACACGTTTCTCTGTCCCAGTGTTTCTTATAAATTGGTAGATTGATATAGAAACCCAGGCCAATTGAGGATAGATATTTTGGCAAGACTGCTTAATAGATGGTATGATAGATTGCCTTAGGAGGCCCACCAGGCCTCTCTTTTTGTTATGTTAACACCCATTTATGACCTTTCCCGGGTTCCACTAATTCATTAAGGATTGCTAATTATCTTTGAATACCCAAAAAACAGTGAACCCAACATGAAGGCATTTGAAGATCTTTTCATTGAGAAACAGTGACAAAGAACCTGGCCTTGATTCCTTATTAGAAGTGATTGTGTCCCATTGCACTGCCTTGGGGTTTTAGGTAATTTGGAATGTTTTCCCATCTGTCTTTACTGCGACTCGGTATGCTACAGAGTAGATGGATCAGTATTGACTTGACACATTCCTATTTTCCCGTTCTTCAAGCCCTTGACATATGTCCATTTTCTTTCAAGAACACATAATCATCTTTTGTTTTTGATCCTTGGTTCTCACTGGAGGAAGAGGGGAGTCATGCTGTGGAATGTCTCCCATTCCCTTTCTGACTCTGTTGGAGCTGCCTTACTTTCTGTGTGACATTTGTTCTTTTAGATAGGGGGTGCCCATTCCTGCCACTCCACTGGGGGCAAGTAATAGTTGTCGATCCTAGATATTTAGTACACTGAAGTAATTTGCTGGAATTTTCTGTCTTCCTTTAGTTAAAAATACATTTTTAAAAAGTAGCTTGTCAAATAAACAAAAAACTCCTGACCGTATATGATGTTTTAGTGTGTATTCTGAAAGCATGACTTTATGTTATTCATTTTGAGCCTTTAAACAAAGAAAAATATTACCATTTGTTCTTTTCTTTTAGGAAATTCACACAAATGAGAAAGAAGTAACAGAGAAGGAAGTAACTCTTCACTTGTTGCCAGGTAACGGTCATGTTAGCTTCAGACCTTATGTGCAACTCAAAGCCAGTGATAAATTATGTCATCCCTGGTACTGCTATATATAAACTCCTTTGTTTTCACCCAGAGAGCATGTAATAGGGATGAGTTAGACAAAAATATCAAGGTCTTTAGTTCAATCACTACATACCTAGGTCTGAATATTACAGCATCTGTCAAGAATTTTTCTTGTTTTCCCCTCCACCCAAGCTGATGAAAATAAGCCTGGGAAATTCACCTCCTTCACAAGCAATTAGGCCTTTTTTGGGTCACCATACGTGGATACATCCAGTATTCTGGTCTCCACTCAGGAAAATCCTGGTCCCCCACAGAGCCTTACGTTCCACACACACTTCCTGCTGCCGAGGTCTAGCTGCCCTGGACTAGCACAGCTGTCTCTGCCTCCCCAGGCAGGTGTTGGTGGCTGGCCTCACCTGTGGTCTCTGCATATGTATCTGAGCGTAAGGACCAGACAGGTCGGGGTTTACTAACCCTGGGGCTGCCACGGCTTTGCTCTGAGGTCATCACTGAGAGTCTGAATTGGTTGGATAGTTTTGAGATGGAAGAGAGATTCTATATCTGAAATAGCTTTAATCATTCCTGAATTCAGAGACAGAAACTACGGGGTGGTTGTATCCCCTTCCACGGGTGGGGCTGTCCTGGGGGCTGTGCATTCGGTTCTTCTTCCATTTTCTTTTTTCTAATCCCAATAGCTTTTTTTCATAAGATTTTTGGGTATATTTCCCCAAAGCAATGGAGGCCTCATTCTGGTACTAATGTTTATTGAGAGGATATGAATATGCACAAGTTTCTGACTGATCCACCTTATTTGGTAAATACTGGGATCCTAAAACTTAAAAATATTTCTAAGTTTCAGAGGTGTGTGTTTGTTTTGTTTTTTACTAATAATGGCCGAAATCTTAATCCACATACCACATTGTCCTTCCTTTCCTTGGGTCATAGATCCTGGAACTTTGATTTTTAGTGTAGTGTTAGCACATTCTCTCATCCTCTGGATTACCTGAGGTCTCTTCTTGATGAGCCGCCTCTATTTCCCAGACTAGACCTTGATTTTTTTCCAGCTCCCGCTTCCCATGATTTGAGACCCTCTCTGCACATGCAAGCTGATAGCAATGGCGCAGCACGCCGGGCTTGCAGAGCCGCACGGGATGTTGTATTAGCTGCTGCGTGCCGGTGTCTAGTCGCCAGCGCACGGCCACCGCCTGAACCCGGCTTGCCTGGTCTTGGGGAGACACTGTTAAAAGTGTTTCACGCTGGGCGCCTGGGTGGCTCAGTTGGTTAAGCGACTGCCTTCGGCTCGGGTCATGATCCTGGAGTCCCGGGATCGGGTCCCGCATCGGGCTCCCTGCTCAGCGGGGAGTCTGCTTCTCCCTCTGACCCTCTTCCCTCTTGTGCTCTCTGTCTCTCATTCTCTCTCTCTTAAATAAATAAAATCTTAAAAAAAAAAAAGTGTTTCACGCTAAGAGTTGAAAGCTCAGGAAGCCTTGTTCACGTATCTTCCACCTTGAACTAGTTGAGGCATTTTTTCTGAACTATTTTAAACCCTAACAAGGCCCCGATTCATTGTTTTCTTCGAGCTCGGTGGTCCCTCTAGAGGCTGACCTAGTGACTGAGCCATCTTCCTGTATTTCCGTAGTAATTAACCCCTTGGGAGATGGAAAAATATACCATAATATGCATCCCTTGATAGTCTTAGTGTCTGAAACTCTATTTTCATGTTGAAAGTTAGACCAAGTGAATTTTGAGCCAAAAAGTACATTCAGAGACACTGAAGAAAATATCCAGAGGGAGATTCTAAGGGGAGACGGTTGTCTGTTGAAAGAGAAGAATATTCTTTTTCTTTTTTGTTACAAAATATTTGCACTTGGTTTTTTTATATCTTCCATATCCTTCTCCTTTTTCTGCTCTCACCCAGACTTCTAGCCCTCATAAACTTCTCTGTTTCTAGGGAGCAGTGAACGCTTACCTATCCCAAAATCCTAATCTTGACTGTAAAGTCCTTTCTATCTCCAGGAAATACAGCTACTCGAGCAGGCTGGGCGCCTGCAGATGGAGCAGGAAAGGTGACACACTGAGAGGAAACACCCTCAACTAAGAAAGAGAGGAAACCATTTTTTTCCCACAAACCTCTGACCTCCCTTTTCCTCCCATCCTTGTCTGTGGAGCCAGAATGCATGTGGTCATGCTGCACCTCTGTATCTGAGGAAGCTGCCTGCCAGCCCTGTGGCTGGGGAGGCACCCCGCTTTCTCTCAGCAGGTCCAGAGTGAGGTGATGGCCCACTCTCCCCACAAAGCGGGCCTGAGCTCTGTGTTCTAGAGCCTTGCTAATTCCATGTAGGGTATCACTTCTGGGGAACGCCTGCTTGGGCCCAAGTAATAGGAACACTGAGGTCTGTGCTTGCAAGTGTAGCTGAGATCATTTCCACATATTGGACACTTTGCTAATTCACAGCGAGAAGATGGGGAAGTGCCCCATGTGAAGGTGTATCTGAGCCATTTTGGTTTCACTTACCAGCGGTCCCCACTCTGCTTCATTTTCGTGCCTCAGGTTTGCAGCCCCTGCTGTGCTGAAAGTGTAGGTTCCGAAGGGCTGCAGCGTGTTGTGCGTTTGTCTTTTCCATGACGAGAGCTGGGGAAGCTTTTACTGTCGCATATTGTATGTTCCCTGAAGACTCTCAGGAGGACTTGTTTTGGTTTTGATCAGGTGAACAGCTGCTTTGTGAAGCCAGCACAGTGCTGAAGTATGTCCAGGAAGATTCCTGTCAGCGTGGGATCTATGGGAAACTTGTCTGCACAGACTTTAAGATTGCTTTCTTGGGCGATGACGAATCGGCACTGGATAATGATGTATGTATGAGCTGCATTTGGCGGAGTTTGAGGGGAGCAGTGCAATTGTGGCCCTGTTGTCTTTTTTCCCAGCTCCTCAGTGACTCTACCCCCCTCCCCCTACCTGCCAACACACATTAAACACAAAGGACAGAAGTCTTCACCACTAGATTGCTCTCTGTCCTCTGGGATCTCTTTTCAGTGGTTGGACCATTCTAAATTTCCCTCCAGTGCCTCAGGTCACACTGGCTTGCATCTGACTTCATAGGTTGACACCTTCAACTTGTTCTTAATTTCTCCTGTATTTTAGAACAGTACATATCACTCACTGGAATCACATCTCCCCAAATATACTAGTTCCCCATGTTTTCTGTATACTGAGCTGTCCCTCAAATTCAGGAACTGAGCTCGGTAATGAAACTGATGCTGAATGCAGCACTTGAATTTGGGTTTATTGTGCCCCAGTCGCAGTGTCCTCTTAAGACTTGTCCCTACTTACGGAGAATAGGCAAGTGGAGTGAGGGAGAGGACAGCCCACGCCCTCGGGGGATGCGCTGTATGTTGATGCAAACTCGGGGGTCCCAGCCGCCCCTGCTGCGTTGGAGTGTGGTCTCCTGCGCTGCTGTCTGCTCTAGTGGCTTGGCTCCTTGTCCCGTCCGAATACAGACAGCACTCACAGTGTTTTCTTCCTAAACGTGCCTTCGTGTAGCTGTCACTCACCAGTTTGCATTTGTGTAGAGAAATCCTAACCTCTCCAAGTGATTGTGGCATGGCCAGTTTGCCTGGGAGCAGCCCAGGAATGGCATGTAGTGCTTGGGTTTGGAAAAAAAAGTGCTTACCAGCTTTCCTCGCACACTTCGTCATCCCTTTCCTAGAGAATGTGGCCGGCTCCATTTCCCTGTTTGTTTTTTAGAGTATACGCTCAATTTTCTCCACCGTTTTATTGAGATATAATTAACATATAACATCCTATTATTTTACGGAATATAACGTAATGATTTGATACATGTCTATTGCATAATGATTATTAGAATAAGTTTAGTTAACATCTCTTACCTTATATAGTTACAAATTTGTTTTCCTTATGAGAAGATCTTTCTTAGCAACTTTCAAATATATAATACAGTTGTATTAACTATAATCACCAGGCTCTATGTTACATCCCATGATTTGTTTATCATAACCGGAAGTTTGCCCCCTTTGACCACCTTCACCCATTTCTTCCACCCCCTCTCTGTTTTTCCTAATGTGCAATTGGAAAATGGTGATTTGCTCTGCCTATAAATGTTTAATAGGGCACAGAAAGGAGTCACAGTTGTTTCCTTTTGAATGTTTTAGGAAACCCAATTTAAGAATAAGGTTATAGGAGAAAATGACATCACACTCCACTGTGTTGATCAGATTTATGGAGGTAAGTATCTTTTCCTCTGGGGTGTTGCCAGCCTTTGGAAGTATGGTTGATAATGATAATATTTCTATGGTCCTTTACAGTTTACTAAAATTTCTTTACATACTTGTTTAAATCAGTTTTATGGATTAGAAAATTGAGATGTAAAGTGACTTATTCGGGGCCACGTAGCTGGAGGAGCTTGCACTTGAATTTGGAACCTCTTCTAGTACTCTGCAGTGCCATTATATGCTAGATCATACTTGTGACTGTCCATGTGAGGTGTGTAGGTTTTACTCCAAAGACTAATCTGATAAAGGTTTGTTGCACTGTACTCTGAGTCTTTTCTGCTAAGGGTCAAGCCTCTCTGTGCTTCAGTTCTATATTTTGGCAGTAAGGGCTTTTTGAGAAATCATTCAGTAGCCATTTAAGATGATCCCAACACCGGTAGGTGCTGTGCGGTTCAAATTCCGGGGCAGGGAGGGAAGTGTCAGGAGATGCCCCTGGCCATAAAGCCAGGTCTCAACTGTCTTGACAGCATATCCCTAGTGACCCCCTTCCATCTTTTGTAATCTTAGCTTCTGGAGTCAGTCCATTTTGAGCTTGTCCAGAGGAATGAAGAACGCTGCCCATTGTCAGAGAGCCGGGGCCCCTGCTGACAGTTACTTCGAAGACAGCACCTTTCCTCTCACTTTTGAGAGGTGTGAATAGTCTTCCTGTTTCCTCAGCATTAACTTTTTGCCTTATAACATGATTTCCCTTCTTGATTTCATCATCAATGTGTAGTGTTTGATGAGAAAAAGAAACCTCTCTTTGGACAACTGAAGAAATACCCTGAGAAACTCATCATCCACTGCAAAGACCTGCGAGTGTTCCACTTTGGTCTGAGGTACACAAAAGAAGAGGAAGTCAAAAGGGTAACTAGTTGCATGTATTTGTAGGTTTTCTTTCCCATCATGTATCACTGCTAACTCTTTTTGCTTATATTGCACGAAGGTGGAGGGGGTGCGTTTCACTCCATAAAGTTGAAATTGGCTTATAATCACATGCTTTGATTAGAATTGAGAGAGAATTTGGTGAAGCATGCCTGCGTATTATGTTGGCACATGCTACCTTTAATCCTAGAGTTCGTGATTGTTTTATTCCTGGAGCCTCTAAAGAGTGGGAGGTGATAAACCAGGGTCAGGAGGCAAGCTTCTTCTCCCACCTCTGACAGTCTTTCCAAAAAGTAGTAGCAGAGACCCCCAAGTCCTGGAACAAAGGAGTTCATATCTGGGAAGTTGTAGAAGTATGTGGGAGGAGGAAGAGGTACATGGGGCAGACGGGCAAAGCCGAGTTACCAAATGAGGCCTGTGATTTTGGACACCAAGGAAACTTAATCTGGTTGCTGCAGCAAATAGAAATATGTAACTGGAAGAACTGATTACAGTTGTCACTGTAACTTCTGTGACTCTGTTACTAAGGTATTGAAGGTCTCAAACTTGCCACTGTCCTAGTAAATCCATCAGGGGAAATGTGGAGAGGGGCCGGCTCACCTGTCGTTCTGGCTACAGTTGAGTTATACACAGTTACGGGTAACTCCTTGGTTTTCTTTCAGGGAGTGTGGTAGTTCAGTTAGAATAATGAACATGACTCCGGCATCTATTCTGAGCAGGAAAAGAGTGGTGTATATAGGGAAAGTACCTGAGAAGCCAGAAACTTCATTTTGAATGATGGTTTTAGCTATCTGTCCAACATACTTTTGTTTGGAAACTTCAAACAAAAAGCACAATGGATTGATTTCTTTTTCTAATCTTCTAGGAGAAGGTCTTAAAGTCTACAAGTGGATCAGAATAGCTAAGTGTCTTGGTTATTGTCTGATATTAGCCCTGTGTCTCTGATGTGTCAGATTTTTAGAGTATCTGAACATGGCACTTAAGTTTTTGTAGCACCTTGTTTTTGATAAATGAGACTATGTTTTAAAAATTTCTCTAGAAATCGGGCGCCAGGGTGGTTGGGCACCTGACTCTTGACTTTGGCTCAAGTCTTGATCTCAGGGTTGTGAAATTGAGCCCCACATTGGGCTCCACACTGAGTCTGCTTAAGACTCTCCCTTTCCCTACCCCCCCCCACACGCATGTGCTCTTACACTCTCAAATGAATGGATAAATTTAAAAAAAGTTTTTTTTTTTAATTTCCCTAGAAATTCAGGGGTGCCAGGGTGCTCAGTCAGTTGGGCATCCAACTCTTGGTTTCAGGTCATGGTCTCAGGGTCGTGGGATCGAGCCTTGCCTTGGGCTCTGTGCTTGGCACAGAGTCTGTTTGGGATTCTTTCCCCTCCCTCTCCGCTCCGTTCCCTTTTCTCTCTCTCAAATAAACAAACATAAATAAATAAATAAAATCTTTAAAGTTTTCTCTAGAAATTCAAAGCTCTTAGTAGACCTGACAAAACTGTTAACATTCTATTTACTTGGCATTATTCCAAAAGGTAATATCATAGAGACCTCAGAGTTTGCGTGATGCCCATAGGAGCCTATTAGCATGACTGGAAACCTAGACAGCTAAGTGTTTATCTGCCAAAAGTATGACTATGTCCATTGTTTGGTTCTTTCCTAGATTGTCAGTGGCATAATTCATCATACCCAGGCTCCTAAACTGCTTAAAAGATTATTTCTGTTTTCCTATGCATCTGCTGCACAAAACAATACAGGTGAGTGTCTTCTGGGTTCTAATTTGCAGGTAGGCGGACCCTTTAAATTCCTACCTGAAACTAGCAAGCAAAAACCCATCCATGAGTTTCTTTTTCCTCTTTCCTAGCAATTGATTGCCTCTTGCTTAGGTAAGTCATTCAAGTTTCTTAAAAAAAAAAAAAAAAGTTTCGGGGCGCCTGGGTGGCTCAGTTGTTAAGCGTCTGCCTTCGGCTCAGGTCATGATCCCAGGGTCCTGGGATCGGGTCCCACATCAGGCTCCCTGCTCAGCAGGAAGCCTGCTTTTCTCTCCCCCCCGCTCCCCCTGCTTGTGTTCTTGCTGTCTCGCTATCTCTCTGTCAAATAAATAAATAAAACATTAAAAAAAAAAAGTTTCTATTTTTTTTTCCTATGATCTTTATTGCTTTAACTTATCTTTTAGGTTTATTTGCTTTTTTTGTGAGGTATTATTGGTTTGGTTGTTTCTTACGAAAGATAAAATCAGTGTATTATAACGGGGAATGTGAGACTGTAGAGAGAGAAAATTCAGACAAGTTTAAAATAGTCCTGTTTGTTCCTGGGTGTTTTTTTTTTCCACCTTAATGTATTTGATTTAATTTCATAATACTTTAGAGAATGTCTTGCATTCTAGAAAGCCTTTAAACAACCAGAACATGCTCTGGGGAAATGGAACAGCAGTTGTACACAAGAGAGCACATCAGAAAGCAAATATGCTTACATAACTTAAATTCTAAATGTTTTCCATTCAGTTCACTGAAAAAGGGAGCAGTTTTTTAACTAAGAAACATTGGTCATTTGAATTAGCTATTAATAATGCCTAGCATTGTACAGTGTTTCCACAGATGTCTGTTGTCTTCTCTCCATCTCTCTCCTCAGTCTGTTTCCTCACTCTGCCGGTCAATCTTAACGTCAGGTTGATGTTGAGTGACCCTGTGTGCTATGTGCTTTTCGTTAGGGAGGTGGCATGTTAGTTTAACAGCGTACTTGGGGCCTTCTGGAGTGTAGAGTTGAACTGCTCATTTGTTCAACATTTTTGAACGCTTGCTGTGGGTCAGGCCTTGGGGATGGAGGTGGGTAGGACTAAATCCCTGTCCTTTACGAGCATCAAGTCTAAGCAGAGACAGCTGAGAGCTGTGTCCTTTGGTGGAGGGGCTGGTCACACTGCGGGTGGTGCAGGGAGGCTGTCACAGGGCACAGGCTGTGCTGGAGCCGATAGTGGAGGATGTGGGGGTGTCTGGTGGGCACAGAGGAGTATTTTAGGCAGCCAGGATCAGCATGTGCAGAGATGTAGATATCTGAGAGAGCAGGTTGCATTTTGGGGACTATGGTGACTTAGTAGAAAAGCTGTGAGTTTTGGAGTCTGTCCCACTTGAGTTCAAGTCCTTGCCTAGCTGCTCAGTAGCTGTGTGATCCTGGGGATAACACTAAATTTTGGGGGCAGGTGTTTTCTCATTATAAAAACAGCAGTGTTAAAACCTTGGTTGAAGTGTTGTGAAGATTATAAATTGTTAAATCCATAGCACGTGGGGTACAGTCAATTAAGTGAGGGTTAATTGAAAGTATAACTGCATATTCAGGGTGGATTATTTCAGAGAATTACACTAACTTAAGATAATGCTCAGCTCTAGCGTTAGACTGAACATAAAATTAGTTCCTTAATTCAGTAAGTTCATCTTAGAATGACAGATCTTTTCACTATAGCTACACGTGCAAGTGCTGAGTAACTGGCTTACAACAGCTTGGTGCAATATGAGCTACACAAAATATGACTGATTTATGAATTACTATAATTTATATAAACATCTACTGGGTTTACATTTGAAAAATCATACTCTATTTTTAAGAATTCTGTCTCTTCCTTATATCCTGACTCTTGGTCCAGACTCAGTACAGGATAGTTTCTTGGCTCCCCAAGACTATGTTGATCTGTGTTCCAACCCTTACCTTGATTGACTCTGGCAGTTTCTTCACCTAGTGGTGTTTGTTTTTTTTGTGTGTGTCACAAGGCCCAGGATAATGTGGCATCTTTTATTCTATTTTCCATCTTTTTTTTTTTAATCCTCTTTCCGTCCCCCATTTTTTGAGAAGTAAATGTTATAACTGATGGATGCTAATTGAACAGTTAACTTTTGCGTTTAGTAGGGGTTTGTAGAGGTGGGTGCTTTGCAGCCTGAACATCTTCAGTTAGTTTCTGGCTTAGTAATTCACAAAATATGCTTTGGCTGAAAGGTCCTGAATACTGTGACGTGGCATTTTAGGGAAGGACTTATCTGTGTTGCTAAAAGAATTATCTACTCTTGAATAGGAATCTCACTATTATTTGTGTCCATGGGGAAATTTTTTTGGTGTTTATTACTTTATGGAAATCCTTTACAGCTGCTTGGGCTTGGATTCCAGTTCTGCCATTGCCTAGCTCTGTGACCTTAGGCAAGTTTCTTGACCTTTCTCTGCCACATCTGTAAAATGGAGGAATTAACATTACCTACCCTGTAGGATTGTGAAGATGGAGTTAATAAAACGTAGTATGCTCAGAACAGTACCTGGCACATACTAAGTGCTATATAAGCTTAACCTCTGTTTTTGTCATTATTCTTATTATCGTTTGTACTACGATCTGGTTTTATTTTAATAAAATAGCATGGGGGAGTCTTATCAAACACTCTTTTCCCCAGAATGCTTGGGTTTCTTTTTTGAAATGCGCGAGGGCTTGAACTGATATGTGTAAATAGCTGAGACTGTTTTGGTGCATGTCACCCAGTGGTCTGTGGCTTAGGAGAGGACCAAGGACACATCTGCTGGGCTGCAAGCGTAGTGCTCCTGGACATTTCCCCCTAATGCAGGGTGAGGGACAGAAGTCTCCATGACCATGGTGCAGTCCCTGACTAGCAAGCCCTGACCCTCACCACAGCTGTCTGATCTGGTGATGGCCGTTAGTAACTATGTCACACTGGAAAATCCTCTTGTTGGCAATGAATGCATCTGCAAATTGAAGGAGGATTTACATTCAGGGATCTGACATGCTATTCAAATGAGTTTGCCATCTTATGCACATATTGGTAGGGCTAAAAATATTTTATTATTTGTAGCATTTGTGCCAAGCCTGTCTTCTAGTGTTTCACAGGATCTTTCATGTTATATAAATTATCTCATGGTCAGATGACTGAAAATGGAGCTATAAATTACTTTTGCAAGGAGTGGAACAAGAACACCTCCTTTCCTCCAGTATAAAAAGACAGACCCTTTGTCATAATTTTGAGTTAATGACAAAAAAAAAGGAACAAGGTTAGGATTAAGCAGTGAACTTGCTGTGCTTGGATAAAAATGGGCTTAGTGAACAAAAATTGGGCTTATAGATCTACTTTCATGTCATTAAAATACCTGTACTTCATGACAAGACTTTCTTTTTAAATTTGTTTTGTTAGCCACCGATCCCAAGAACCATACGGTAATGTTTGACACACTTAAGGACTGGTGTTGGGAATTGGAGCGGACCAAAGGCAATGTCAAGTACAAAGCAGTGAGTGTCAATGAAGGCTATAAAGTCGGTGAAAGGTAAGCATTCAGTGCTCTGCTTTTTTTTTTTAATGGCTTTATTGAGATTGAATTCACATGCCATACAATTCACACATTTGAAGTACACAGTATTTTGAAATCTATTCACAGGGTTGTGCAACCATCACCACAGTCCATTTTAGAATGTTTTCATCAGCCCCAGAAGAAACCTCATACCCCGCTTAGTAGTTGCTCCCCATGTGCCCTCAGCACCCCAGCCTTAGGCAACCTCTAATCTACTTTCTGTCTCCGTAGTTTGCTTATTCTCAAGATTTCATATAAATGGAATCTGATAATAAGTGGTCTTTATGCTTGGCTTCTTCACTTAGCATAATGTTGTCAAGGCTCATCCATGTTGTAGCATGTAGCAGCATTCCATTCTTTTTTATTGCTGAATAATATTCCATGGTATGGATAGACCACATTTTATTTATCCATTCATCAGTTGATAGGCTATCATGAATAATGCTGCTATGAACATTTGTTTACAAGGTTTTAGGTTTCCAGTTCTGTGTGTGTGTATATGTATGTATTCCTAGGATAGAATTGCTGGGTCATATGATAACTGTTTAACTGAGGAACTGCCAGACTGTTTTCCACAGTGGCTGTACCATTTACACTCCCATCAGCCGCGTAGGAGGGGTCCACGTTTTCCATGTCGGAACTGTGCTTAAGAAATCCTTAAGATGTCCCTTAAAACATTCAAAAGTGAATTTGTGTCATTTTTTTCCCATTGTATGTAGAGTCTAAGTGTAAAACTATTAGAGGCTTTTTTGAATTTATATTGTATATTTGCTTTCCTTTTACTTAACACTTCATTTATTCAATAAAAATCTTTGGCAGGGCACCTGGGTGGCACAGTTGGTTAGGCATGCGACTCTTGGTTTTGGCTCAGGTCATGATCTTGGGGTTGTGGGATTGAGCCCCGCGTCAGTCTCTGCTCAGTGGGGAGCCTGCTTCTCTCTCTCCCTCCCCCTCTCTCCTTCCTCCTGTGTGCACACTCTTTCTCTCTCTCAAATAAATGGGTAAATCTTTAAAAAAAAATCTTTGGCCACTGTGCACCAGGTAGTGTCCTGGCTACTAGAGATACAGCAGTAAACAAAGAGCCTAAAAATTCCTGCCCTCCTGGAACTTTCACACTAGTGGGAGGAAAACAATGATAGAATAAATGAGTGATCAGGGAGTATTAAAAGGTAGTAAGTACTATGGAGAAAAATAGATCACAGGGGCTAGGGAGTGGTAGAGGTGTTGGTGGGGAGGGTTGGTCGGGCACAGGGGACAGTAGAGGCAAAGACCCTGAGGTGGAGTGTTGTCTGGCTTCTGTGAGGGAACAGCAAGGAGCCCAGGGGCTGGTGAGGAGCCATCAAGGGACAGAGTAGTGGGGAGTGAGGTTGGGGCAGAGGGAGGTGGTTGGATGGTGAAGGGGAGGAGGCTTTCAGCATTTATCGTGCAGTGAGGAAAAGTTTGAGCAGAGGCATGATGTGATCTGACCTACATTTTTTAATTTTTATTTTATTTAAAAAAATATGTATTTATTTGACAGAGAGTGAGAGAGCACAAGCAGGGGGAACAGTAGAGGGAGAGGGAGAAGCGGGTTCCTCGCCAAGCAGGGAGCTGGATGTAGGGCTTGATCTTGATCCTAGGACTCTGGGATCATGACCTGAGCCGAAGGCAGATGCTTAACCATCTGAGCCACTCAGGCGCCCCTGACCTACATTTTTAAAGGCTGACTCTGCATAATACTTTTTTTAAAAAGATTTATTTGAGAGAGAGTGCGCACGTGCACCAGCAGGAGAAGCAGAGGGAAAGGGAGAATCTCAAGCAGACTCCCCACAGAGCGCTGAGCCTGACGCAAGGCTTGATCTCACAACCCTGAGATCATGACCTGAGCCAAAACCAAGAGTTGGATGCTTAACTGACTGCGCTACCCAGGCACCCCTGCATAATTCTTTTTTAAAAGCTTGAATCTTCTCATTTTGGAACATACTCTTCAATATCCTGCTAGCAATTTCATAAAATTTGTATTTCTTTTTTTTTTTAAGTTTTTTTTATGTATTTATTTGGCAGAGAGATACAGAGAGAGTACAAGTAGGCAGAGAGGCAGGCAGAGGGAGAGGGAGAAGCAGGCTCCCCGCTGAGCAGGGAGCCCGATGCGGGGCTCGATCCTAGGACCCTGGGATCATGACCTGAGCCGAAGGCAGATGCTTAACCAATACTTCTTTTTAAAAGAGATTTTATTTATTTATTTGACAGAGCACAAGCCAGGGGGAGCGGCAGGCAGAGGGAGAGGGAGAAGCAGACTCCCCATTGAGCAAGAAGCCCAATGCAGGGCTTGATCCTGATGTAGGGCTTGATCCCGATGTGGGGCTTGATCCCAGGACCCTGGGATCATGACCTGAACCAAAGGCAGGTGCTTAACCAGCTGAGCCACCCCAGCGTCCCCAGTCTCAAACATTCATAAACTTAGCTCTCCTGACACAGCACAACCCGGAATGACAGTGGGGAGGGACCTGCAGAGCAAATGTCACGGCCCCATTCCTGCCCTTCTCCTCCTCCCCGCTCTTTCCAGTCACAGAGCTTGAAAACGGAAAGCTAGCTCTTGCTCAGAAAGAGGTTAGAAACCCCTGCACCTAGGAGGTGATAGTTTGTAATATGTTGACACTGATAGGAGGCGTCCCCATTCTGATAATTGTTTTTATTTTTTTAAAGATTTTATTTATTTATTTGATAGAGACACAGCGAGAGAGGGAACACAAGCAGGGGGAGCGGGGAGAGGGAGAAGCACGCTTCCCGCCGAGCAGGGAGCCCGATGCGGGGCTCGATCCCAGGACCCTGGGATCATGACCTGAGCCGAAGGCAGATGCTTAACAACTGAGCCACCCAGGCACCCCCGAGAATTGTTTTTAAAAAATCCTGCCACATACTGATTAAATTCATTGGTATTTATTTAGTTGTCAGCATCAAAAATATACCTGGTAGAAAAGGCAGGTGGGGAGGAAGGTTTTAAAGGTTTATTTATTTCAGAGAGAGCACAAGTGTGAGTGAGTGTGTGAGGGGGAGAGAATCTTCGAGCAGACACTCCACTGAGTGTGGAGCCTGAAGTGGGGCTTGATCCCAGGACCCATTGGATCATGACCCGAGCTGAAACTAAGAATCAGATGCCCAACTGACTGAGCTTTACCCAGGTGCCCCATGGGAAGGAAGCTTTTAATTAGTGGTTAGCAGGGAAAATGGGGCTTTGGCAAGATTTTAGTTCTGGGAGCACTCAGCGCAAACACATATCCCTTGGACGGCCCCAGCCGTACATACAATCCCCTACCCTTTTCTGCCCCGTGGAGAAGATACAGGGCAAGCTGTGCTTTGTTTCTCACCTGGACCACTGTGGTGCTGCCTACATGGTCTCCACCACCCACTCTGGTCCCCCAGCATCCATTCTCTATCTACACGGCCTTTCATGGTTTGACTCCTGCCTGACTCCCCCTCTACCCCCCTCTGACCATACTGACCCCCTACCATAGGTCTCCTGTCTGGGATGCTCCTTTTGCTTTTTAGCAGCACAAGGGTAGTTGTTTCCATCTTACTTGTCAGATCTTAGCTCAGGTGTTACTTTAGTAGGGAGCCTGCCCAAGACTAGGTCAGGTCTCAGTGAGAGCTTTCTTTGTGCTCATGCCTCCCCTCACAGCACTTCCTACGATTGTGAGTTTATTTTTATCTGTGTCACCATTTGGAAATGTTTGTTTCTGCAACCTGTCAGCTCTGGAGAATCAAGGACCCTTTTTTTTTTTCATCATTATATCCTCAGTACCAAGTATAGTGCCTGGTTTTTTTGGTTTGTTTTTGTTTTTTTTTTTTTAAGGTTTTATTTATTTATTTGACAGAGCACAAGTAGGCAGAGTGGCAGGTTGGGGGCGGGGAGGGAGAAGCAGGCTCTCCGCCGAGCAGGGAGCCAGATGCGGGACTCAATCCCAGGACCCCAGGATCATGACCTGAGCCGAAGGCAGCCACTTAACCGACTGAGCCACCCAGGCGCCCCTAGTTCCTGGTTTTAAGAGGCATCAAGAAATAGGAAACAGAATGAGTAAAGTAATGAAAGCCCTTCCTCCAGCACTTAGCGGGCACTCCAGTCAGTTTGGATAATAGGAAACTGAGCGTCTACTTCATCTTCTGCCCAGGTCAGAGCTGGCTATTCCAGTACCTGTCTTCCCTCTCCTGAAAAGCCTTTTTTCTGCCATCCTGCCTCCCTGTCAAGGTATCAGAAGGTCCATTACCCTATGGGCGTGTGTCACACAGGCCTGTGAACTGATGCTGCCCCAGGGAGACATTGCTGCCCCGCTGTTGTCCCTCTGAGGGTTTCCTCACCCTAACGAAGGCCTAGCCTTTGTTATTATTCCTTCAATAATAAAGTCATCCTGTAGTTGGAAAGGCTGTTGACTTTGTGTTTGGAAGCTCATCCTGATGAGTAGAATGACTGCTCTCCAAGGAGGGAGGGTTAGCTGTTTGTGGACATTGGGAGCCTCACAGCAGAGAGCCTCTGGAACCTCCTAGTAGTTTGCTGGGACAAGAGAGGACATCTCAGACTCCTTTCACTGGTGCAGAGCTGTCCCATCTCTGTGCAGCCTCCTTTCTGGAGCCAATGCATGCTGCATATGCTAATACACTTGGTTCTGACATTTTTCCGCCCTTTGATGGAAGACTCTTTATAAGAGAAAATTAACTGGCTAACCAACATGGTAAAAAAATTCAGCCTCGCTAGTACTAGAAGGGGAAGACATGCAAATTTTTAAAAAACCTTGTGGCCCCAGCTCTGCAGAATGAGCTGAGACTCAGGGCTAACCCAAACCCGCAGGTAGCTCTCCTGTGAAGGCGGAGAAACTGTGGTCTGTTGGTGTGTTGCTGGCGCAGCGCTACTTCCACAGTCATCCAGGGATTAACATGCAGATTCTGATTCAGTGGGTCCGAGGTTGAGCTGGAGAAATGTGCTGTCCAGGTGATGCTGCTGCATACTTGGAGTAGCAGGATCTTCTAGAACAACAGCTGTCATCCTCCTTGTACACTGGGGAGCTTTTGAGCTTCGGATTTTTTTCTTCAAGCTTCTGATATTTAATAGTTCTGTGGGGGGAGCCTGGACGTAGGGAGGTTTTTAATCTTCCCGTGTGATTTTAATGGGCAGCCTGAGTTCATTGATACGTGAAGAGATTTTTGGGGGGGGGGTTTGTTTGTTTACGTCAGTGATAACACCTGAAGAAGGGATACCTTACCACCTATGCATTAAAACAATTTTGATGGTTTGAAGTATCTTGTCCTTGACCAGTGTTTTCCAAACCTGGTCCTACGTTAAAATATAATGAGAGGTTTTTTTTCTTTTTAATTACCTTTAAGATTTTTTTTAATGGAAAATTTCAAGCAGTATAAAAGAGAATATGATAGATTCCCTTTTACCCATCACCCCCCCCTTCAACAATTATTAACTCATGCCTAATCCTATTTTCTCTGTGCTTCCCTTGGATTATTTTGAAATAAATTCCAGACCTCATCACATTTCATTCATGAGTTTTTCGGTATACATCTCTAACAATTAAAAACTCTTTTTATAAATATAACCATAAAACCATTATGACGCTTTTCAAATTTAGCATTAAAATCCTCAGTCAGTATCATTCAGTAACATAAGTCAGTGTTCAAAAATTTCCCCATTGTTTTTATAAATTTTTAGAACAATTTTTCATCTTTTAATCCATTTTATCATTAATGAAGACTCAGTGATATTGATATCTTGCAATTGATTGATAGGTTTCTCAAGTCTCTTAATCTGTAGAGCTTCCCACCATTTGTTTTCTTGCAATTTATTTGAAGAAACCAGGCTATTTTCTGATTGTTTCCTATAATCTGGATTTTGCTGGTGTTTAAAATGGTGCTCCATTCCCTATGGATTTATTAGATCTAGGGACTTGATCACATTCAAATTCCAACCTGTTCAACTTAGAAAGTCCATCTGTCCCATCACCTGATACTTACAGGACTGACTTCAAACATGCAGCATGCATACAGGTACCATCCATTATTTTCCATTGTAGTTCTTACACCATAGACACCTTCTTACTTCCCTTGAGGCTTTATTATTTCAAGCTCTTTGAGTGAAAGGGTTTTCCAGCTCCACAGTGATTCAACTTAGCAGGTTTCTTATTAATAGAAACCTGCATTTGCTAACTAGAGGAAGAGGTGGTGTCTCTGTATATCTCTGATCTTTGCAACTCTGAAAACCTGACTTTCCCACTTCCTACCACTTAACAGGTCATTTTTAGAACCTAAATTTTCTCATATAGAAACTGAAGCCATACTGGTTGGGTTCAGGTCATAGCTCTACTAATGCATACTAGCTGTATAATCTGTGAAGGGCCTTAGTGGTGCTCAGTTTCTCTATCTGTGAAATGGAATAATAGTACATACCTCATAGAGTTGTCAGGGTAAAATGAATAATTTGTGTTAAGGAATTTAAGTCTGGCCTACAGGAAGCAGTTAAATGTTTGTTGTCAGAATGCTTGATGAAATGTCTAGGCAGCAGTCATTGTAATTACTGGTTTTTATATTAGCTGACTGAAAACATGGGTGCTTAATTGCCACTATGTGATGAGAAAGAGCCCTCCCAATTTTGGAATTCATATACTTGTAGGTATCATATATTCCAGTCCCCTCATTTCATGGATGAGGAAACAGACCCAGAGAAGTGGGGTAGCTTACTTAGGGTCACACAGAATCAGAGGAAGAGCTAGGATTTGAACCGAGAGTCCCGGCTGATTTGGCTGGAGATAGTTCATCTGCACTGGTTTTTCTTAAGAGGGAAATAAGGTTCGTGTCCTTACCACTGTGTTTCGCTTCCTCAGTTCATTAAAGTTGAGCCTTCATATTTAGTGAATTACTACAGTACTAAAACTGATGACATCTCTTTCTTCTAGATTGCCAGCATTCTTTGTTGTCCCCACCCCTCTTCCTGAAGAGGACGTGCGATGCTTTCAGGGTCGTGGCATACCAGTGAGTACATCTGGAAACCCTAATAGCCATGGGTTGCTCATCAGCCCATTCTGGCAGATTATTCTATTTAAAGCCCTTGGCTTTGGTCCTCCGTCCAAAAGGGATCCAGAAATATCTCAGGGGCTCACTAAAAGAGTCTCTCAGACATGAGGCTCCCTGGGACAGCTCTAAAGTTTTCACAGATGCAGTAGAGTTTTTAGCAGAAACATCTTAGAGATTGAAGAGGATTACAGATCTGCCTAGTGTTGAAAACCAGCCTGATTTTGCACCTGAAATCATTTTGAGGTTGAGTCCCCCACTCGAAGGGTAGTAGGGTTTAAGATTCTTTTTGGCCCCACTATTAATTTTTGAGTGCGTGTGGCCGTTTTTTCTCCCAGAGACAACATAGAGAGTTTACTTAGTTTTCACAGAATAGACTGGAATGGGAGCCATATTTAATGTGTTACTAATCAAAGAAAGCAAGGCTCTGGCAGTTACTCCAGTTTCTAATTGGTGGTTGGGAGTTGCCAAGCCTTCAGGAAATTTAGTAAGGAATGAGAATTACAAATAAATGCTGTACTGTGCCCATGGCTTGTTCACGAAAAAGGTCACTCCTGGATGGGAGGCAAGATGTTTAATCAGGGTCACATGTAAGTCCCATGTAGGCAGGGCAGGTAATGAGCTTGGCCCTTGCAGTGAACCAGAGACCATCCACCTGAGTTAAGGGGGAGGCTGCTTTTCTCTGCTAGCCGGTTTGTGCCATGTGGAATATGGGCCTGGTCTTGCCAGATATCCTGATTTCTCAGGAGAAGCCAGAGATAGGGATTTTTATGTGAGTTGTGACTTTCCCCAATTTCTAAATGTATGCAACTGATTCAGATGTTTAAAAAACAGGTCTTTGGGCTAGAGTTGGCTCATGTCCCACTAGTTTGTAACCTTTGCTTGAGAGCAGAGGTTCTTATACTTTCTGATCTCAACATTCTATACTCTAAAAGGTTATTGAGGATTTCAAAGACTTTTTTTGTTTATGTGGATTATATTGTTTGATATTTGCCATATGAAAAAACAAAAAATTTTAGTTTATTTTAGCAATAAGCTTACCACATGTTAGTGTAAATAGCATATTTTTGTGAAAAATAACTATTGTTCAAAACAAAAACATAGAATAGCAGTGTTGTACATTTTTAAAAATAGAAGACCACTGGATTCTTATATCTACCTCTTTGATTCAGTCTGTTGTATGTTAGGGTTTGGTTGAAGTACAGGAAGAAAATCCATCCTCACACAGATCCATATTTGGGAAAGGGAGGAATAGTTATTCACCTTTTCCGATAATTCAGAATATTATTTGATGGTGCACCAAAAAAAATGAGAAGTGGTGGTTTCATCAAGGTTAATTGCAATAAGGAATCTGAAAACCTAATCAATGAATTTTTCATTCTTTGCTACATTAAAATCCATGGGGTCTGTCTTGTACTTGGAATAGATCTTAAAACATGCATGATTTTTTTAAAGATTTTATTTATTTATTTGACAGACAGCGAGAGAGGGAACACAAGCAGGGGGAGTGGGAGAGGGAGAAGCAGGCTTCCCGCGGAGCAGGGAGCCCGATGCGGGGCTCGATCCCAGGACCCTGGAACCATGACCTGAGCCAAAGGCAGACGCTTAACGACTGAGCCACCCAGGAGCCCCAAAACACGCATGATTTTATGACCTTTTATAGTGATCTTTTGGAAAGTGTTGGTTCACGGGGTTATATTAGTATGTTTCCATATATAAAAATCACACTCATTGACATCACCCTTGTCTCATCAGAAAAATCTGTATGTTTTGGGAAGCTGTCTAGGTAGAGGCAGAGATTAGTTTTTCACAGTTCTAATTTTTGCATGAAACTTCAATTTTTATCATTTACAACAATTTGTCAGTTGTTTTCCTTGAAGTGATAGGGTCACTTCGTTCTTGTTTGTTTTGTCTTGAGGATGAACACCCAGTGTTTGACTCTCACTCATTCTTTCAGTTCCATGAAGAGAGCAGCTAGTTCACCTCTCACCTCAGTCCCATAAGTGCTTTTCCTCAAGACATACAGTGTATTTCAGTGCTTATTTCCCACTCCATCATGTCAGTTATAAAGCTTGTTAATATTAAATATCAATCTGTAATGGCCAAGATTAATAAAACTAGTAATTTTTAGTCTGCATTAAGGACATTCTCAAGTACAACAATTTCTTTTTTCTGCAAGCATGTGGCTATGAAGAATACAGTGGTGACCAGTGCCATCTGGGAGCGGTGCCCTGAGTGGTCCAAAGGCACCCGTGCTTTTACCCACCAGGGCTTTGGCACCATCCGTGCAGATGTCAGCACGGTGAAGAGGACAAGTTAACTCTTAGTATTATTCTCAGACCACCTGAAAGGGTCTCTATAGACTACATTTTGAGAATCACTGTTTTCAAACAATGAAAATGAGGGTCTTCATTCTTTAACCTTTCAGAGATGGATTGAGGAAAAGAGGGTGAGCTCTGTGGGAAGAAATAAAGATGAATGGTCTACACATGTGCGAGTGGGCTGCCTTTCCATCCAGCATTGAAATTTGGATACTGTGTTCTAGCTAGGCCTTGAGGCAGAGAAGTAGAAAATATTCTGATGAGATCTGAGTGGGGAGCCAGCAACATAACTTCTTGGTAGAAACAGTTAGGAAGGTGTTCTCACTCTTTTTAGATCTGTCCTGAAAGTTGTTAGTGGAATTTCCATGAATGGACAACATTAGAATATTATACAAGATGGAATTGACACATTTACCCAGGAAACACAGAGCTCTCCATACCCATAACATAAAATTTACCACTAGTGGCATTTATTGTATTTACAGTGTTGTGCAACCATTACCACTTTCCAGTTCCAGAACATTTCCGTATCTCCGTGCTTTTTTTTACCCTGACTTTTCAGCTAGTGTGTTTATTCTTGCCTTTACTTATTTTCAGTGAAGACCTGCATCATTTGTAGGTTCAGTCATATCCTTGTGGCCATTCTAGCGACCTTGGCCTCCTCTACCCTCTGCTGTTCTCCAGCCCCTGAGTACTGATCTTTTTTGACTGTGGGGCTAGTGAACATTGGTAAAGATTATTCAAACTGAACAGCAGAGTGTTACTGAATGGGTTACGGAAAAGCCATATGTCACCTTGCCTCAGTTGGGCCTTTCTTCTGCTCAGCAATCTGTTGTTTAACTCCTTTTGGATCCTGTATCATTCTTTCCTAGGGCTGGTATAAGCCATTTTTTCATTCTCTTTAAGTTTGTAATTCCATTCTTAATTTTTGTACTGAGAGACAATGTTTCCCCTACTTCTGTGGGATTGTGGACAACCCTCAACAAGACCTCCCTCGGCTTTCCCCTTCACCTCCTGTTGGTTTTTCTCTGTGCTCTTGTTTTCTTCTCCTGAATCTAAACAGCTGCCTGGCTCTTGATCTCATCTGCCCTTGCTTTGTCAGGAGCCTGTTTCCATCAGCCTTCCCCCTTCCCCGTGGATCTTTCCTGGTGTTCCGCTCTACCTGAAGGCACACTCAAGCCTCCCCTGACCTGAAGAAGCCCCTCGTTAAGAGTTAAGCTACTGTCTTGTTCTCCCTCCCAGTACTGACAAACATCTTTAAAGACTCTGTACTAATTTTCCTTCCTTGACTCTCTCATTTCTTCTTGCACTGTGACTTTTACCCCCTACTCTGCGACGGACCCTCCAGAAGTAGTCAGTGGGCCTTGTGCATCCCCCTTGCCCATACCAGCACTGCCCACCTACCCCCATACCAGCACTACCCCATACCAACACTGCCCCCCTGTATCAGCACTGCCCCGCAAGTATCAGCACTCCCTGTACAAGCACTGCCCCCCCCCACCAGTACCAGCACTCACCCATACCAGCACTGCAGGTTTGACACTGATTAGGATCTTAACCTTTTTTGTGTCTAAATTCTTGTCTTGCTTTGGACACACTGTGCTTTCTGGGTCCTCTGACCTCTTTAATAGTTTCTTCCTTCTTAATGCTGCTTTCTAGCATCCAGTTGTAGATGTTCCCCTAAAGTTCTGTCTTGGGCTCTGTTAAGAAAGATAACCTTAAGGGCCAACATGGCCGCCGCCACCCGTGGGAGCTGATGTGCCGCCGCCGCGGGGCAGCTGGGGGGAATCCACCTGCATCGGCACCCTTGTTGGCCGGGCGGCCGCAGGGCCCAAAGCACCGGAGACCAGGGTTGGGGCAGCACCGTGCGGCGGCCATGGGGTCACGTTAGAGCATCCCTCGGCGGCTATGCCGAGGGCCCGGAGCGGCCAGCGGAGCAGGGGCTGGAGGGAGGGAGGAAACCTTCCTGCGAGTGCGAGCCAACCGGCAGACCCAACTGAATGCTCAAATTGGGAAAATGAAATGGAGGAAGCAAGATGAAGGGCAGAGGGAAGGCTCCTGCGTGGCCGAGGATGATGCCGTGGACATCGAGCATGAAAACAGCAACCACTTTGAGGAGTATGAGTGGTGCAGGCAGAAGCGGATATGGGCCACCACTCTCCTGGAAGGTGGTTTCTGAGGCTCTGGCTTCGTCATGTGCAGTGGCAAAGAGAATCGAGACAGCGACGCTGACCTGGATGTGGATGGGGGTGACACTCTGGAGTATGGGAAGCCGTAATACACGGAGGCTGACGTCATCCTCTGCACAGGCAAGGAGCCTGGTAAAGCCAAGGAGAGAGAGGCAGTCCTAAATGGCGGCCCTCCCAGCACACACATCACGCCTGAGTTTTCTAAATGGGCCAATGACGAGATGCCATCTACCAGCAGCGGTGAGAGCCGCAAGCAGGAGGCCATGCAGAAGACCTTCAAGAATAGTGACATCGAGAAAATTACAAAGATTCAGCTGTGACCACATTTGAGGCTCTGAAGGCTTGGATCAGGGAACTTGAACGGCAGCTATCGCGTGGGGACCGTTACAAATGCCTCATCTGTATGGATTCCTACTCGATGCCCCTAACGTCCATCCAGTGTTGGCATGTGCACTGCGAGGAGTGCTGGCTGCAGACCCTGGGTGCCAAGAAGCTCTGCCCTCAGTGCAACGCCATCACGGCACCCGGAGACCTGCGGAGAATCTACTTGTGAGCTAGCCACCCCTGGTGGGCCGTGCCTCGAGCAGCCTCACCTGCCTGCCTCTGTGACGTGACCCTCCCCCTTGTACATACTTGCACACAGGTTCCCCGTGTACATACATGCGTGTGCGCACACACATATACACACACAGGACTCTGGAGCCAGAGTGGAGGCTGAGGCCCAGGCCCTGCCTGCTGGCTGCCACTAAGACTGGGGACCATACCTATTCCAGGTTCTGTCCCCAGGGTGGAGCAAGGAGGTGGAGGTGAGGGGGAGTAGTGGGGCAAGCCTCCTGAGATCCAGCCCCCAGCCTGACAGATGGACAGACAGACATGCAAACACCAGACTGACGCACATGTAATATAGGCTGTGTATGTTTACAATGTTGTGTATAAATGGGACAACTCCTCACCCTCCACTCCATCCCCTCCCCTTTGGTTGTAAGATTTTCTTCTTTTTTTAAGAAGACCTGGAAGCAGTGCCCCCTTCAGGGCTGGCTGGGGGCTCGGCCCATCCACCTCTCAGGGTGCCTGCCTCTCTCTCTCCCATGGTATCCCTTTCCCTCTCCCATGTGCTTGCTGTTCAGTGGTGTATATTTCTTCCCCCAGACATGGGCCACATGCCCCAAGGGACACGATCCTCTCCTTAGTCTTAGCTCCTGGGGCTCTTTATAAGGAGTTGGGGGAGGGGGGAGACACAGGAAATGGGAACCGAGCTAAAGCAGGGGCTGAGATTGGGGCTGGATGAGTGTGCTCCTGGCTGTCCAGCCTTCTGTCAAGAGCCATTCCTGGGATTAGAACTGCTGTTCCCAGGGAAAGTGGTCTCCCGCACCCCTCCCACATGGGCCCCGCGGTGTGATGCTGTGTCTGTATATTCTATACAAAGGTACTTGTCCTTTCCCTTTGTAAACTACATTTGACATGGGTTAAACCAATATAAACAAAAAAAAAAGAAAGATAACCTTAAGCTGTATCAAATAATGAATAATTTTTCCTCTCCCTTTTAAAAGTTAAACAGGATTAACAAGCAGTGATTCTTGTCAAGACATTTATACTAAGACACCAGACAGAAATTATACATATCACAATAAGAGAAGACCAGCTTTTTGTTAATTTCCAGTGAGAAGTCTGTCTTTGACCAAGAATTTTGCTTGTTTTTTATTTATTTTTTCAAATAGAGAACAGTAAGGGAATTGCCTCAGATGAGATGAGACAGGTATGGTTGTGCCCTCAAAAGAAAATGAGTTATTAATGGCTGAATATCAACAAGAGCCAATCCTTTCTGCCCCAGGAGAAGAGAGAAAAAGGATAAAGGACACATAATTTCTTAGAACCTGTCATCTAGGGGCGCCTGGGTGGCTCAGTCGTTAGGCATCTGCCTTTGGCTCAGGTCATGATCCCATGGTGCTGGGATCAAGCCCCGCATTGGGCTCCCTGCCCAGCGGGAAGCCTGCTTCTCCCTCTCCCACTCCCCCTGCTTGTGTTCCCTCTCTCCCTGTCTCTCTCTGTCAGATAAATAAAATCTTTAGGAAAAAAAAACCTGTCACCTAGTCATAGCTAAGAGTGTTTGTCCCCTTTTATACAAGTGAGCTGCACCCAACTAGGGGGACAGGATTGCTTGGGCATTCAAAATGCCGCCACCCTTGGCAGAGGGATAGAAACTGTGTGCTGGTTTCTGTATGTTGCTTAGCATGACATTGGAAAAGGGAGGGGGAGGACAGTAAAGGGCCCTTTGATTTGTCTCGGTGTCCTAACACTTCCAACCTCATTTTGAATCTTAGAGAGTCCAAGTACGGCTTGGCCCTGAGAAGGGGAGTCATTGCTTTTTGGCATTTCCTGAAACAGTTCTGTGTTGTTCTGCCCTTACTACCTGGGTGGGCTCTCGTCTCTTCCATGTCTGGTGGCAGCCAGCTGCCATGTCCACAACCCCAGTCCGGGCTTCCCCTCCTAAACTTGTAACCCTCATCTAATGTGTCTTCTGCATATCTGCACACAGGTCCTAATATACCCAGCACCGATTCTGTTCTCTTCCCCTGAAACCCCCAAACCAATTGTGCCTCCTGGCTTTCTGAGTGTAGTGCAGAGTAGCACTTGGACTGTGCTGATCTTGAACCTTGTGGCCCCGGCGTCTGCTGCTAGCATGGCCAGTGTATGGTTTATACCATTCATGGCAGATGAGAAGCAAAAAGGTACCATCTCCACGTAGCAGAATTATAAAAGGCATCTTCTTCCTCTAGGTTTACCTTTGAGCTAAGGCTGAGGACGTGGTCAGCAGAGCAGTGGCCGGCCTCTGGCCATTCTCAACTCTTAACCAGGCCTTTATGGGGCTCAAGGTCCACAGCTGTACTCACCTGCCCCGACCAGCCTTGCCCTCTCCTCCATACCGGGCTCTTCCGGCAGATTACTTTGTCCCAAGATCAGTCCTCATATCCTTTCATTCCTGCAAAACGGAGCAAACAAGGTTCCCACTGCAGCCAGAAAAGTGCCTGAACCTGTCACGGTCGTTCATGTGATTTCTTCTTGTCTCGCCTTCCCTTTGTTGTTCCTTGAAATTCTCTTCTTTCGTTTACCACATTCTACTTTTTACTATGTTTATAAGTGTATTTCCCTTTTGAGAGTGTAAACTCCTTGAAGGTAGACCCATATATCTTAGCCCTCTTCACATTGTCTTTACATACTGCACTGCTTTGCATGTACAGGTCTTCTGCGTTGAATGGCCAGCTTCCCTTCTTTCTAGTGTGAACTTTCTCTGGTGACAGGAGCTGCCCCCTGCATGCCATCTGGCCTTTCGTCAGAATGCTGCAACTTGGAGTGCAGCTCGAGGAGGTTATTTGGTCTCTCCAAGCCTCAGTGTCTTGCTGTTGATGGGGGGTTAGGGATCTTACTGTTTCTGAGCGTGACTGTGAGTATCAAATGGGTTAATTGACGTAAGATGCCTGACCGAGTAAGTTGCGCTCTTGTGAGATCTGTGCTGATAACGGTGGTGACACCATCATCTCGGCTCCCAGCACTAAAGGCAAGTCAAAAGGTATACATTAGACCATAAGCAAGGCTTCGTGTGACTATCTAGACCTGGTTTGTTTTGTTTTGTTTTAAGACTAAATCGGTGTTTTTCACTTACGTAACTACTCTCTGGCTTAACAAAGGTGAACACATCCAGCCATTTCTTACTAAAGTGAAACACTTCCCTGTATGAATTTAAATGCTAAGCTTACCTGTCTCCTGGATTGTGTATGTTATATCTGAAAAATCTTTTTTCCCCCTTTGCAGATATGGTGTTGGTCCTGCCATAATGGATGTGCCCTTTTGAAAATGTCAGCCCTGCCCAAAGAACAGGATGATGGCCTTTTACAAGTCCAAAAGAGCTTCTTGGATGGGTCAGTACTGTTCTACATTTTGTTATTGGTTAGTTCAGTTCTTGTTTTCCCAGATGCAGGGGAACAGTTCTTAATAGTGTGTTCACTCCTGTTTACCTGCTGACAGCTTAGTGCTTGGGAATACCGCATAGAGTGATTGGTTTTTGGATCTTATTTATTTATTTGAGAGAGAGTGAGCGAGCACAAGTGGGAGAGGGGCAGAGGGAGAGGGAGAAGCAGACTCCCCACTGAGCAGGGAGCCCAATGCGGGGCTCAATTCCGGGGCTCCAGGATCATGACCTGAGCGCCGAAGGCAGATACCTAATGGGCTGAGCCACCCAGGTTCCCCTAGAGTGATTGTTTTTAATCACTTTGAAAGGAGGGGCAGGTGGCTGGCTCAGTTGGTAGAGGATGCCCCTCCTGATCTCGGGGTTGTGAGTTCGAGCCCCACACTGGGAGTAGAGATTACTGAAAAAAATAAACTTAAAAAAGTAACTTTGAAAGGCGTCAGTATAACATAATCATAGAAAATGTCAACTGCATTGTTTTTAGAGATGCATGCCTGAGTATTTAGGGGGAAGTGGCACGATGGCCCTAGGTTCGACAGTGGTCAAATCCAGGTCATGGTCTATGTCACTGTCCTTTAACGAATGTTTGAAATTTTTCAAAATGTGGAAAAAAAAAAACCCAAAGTGTGGATGAATTAAAAACAGAAAAGAAGACAGCTTTGAAGTTACACTGCCTTGGGTTCAAGTCATGGCTCTATCAGTTTACAATCTTCATACTTTTGGGCTGGGAGGTGCCCCACGCACTTGCATTCCCACCTCTGCTGACCAGGGACAGCAGTCCTGTGGTGGTTACTTCGTTGGCAGGGATTAAACGGGAAGATCCTACACACACAGATCTGGGCACATAGTAAGTGCTCAGGGCAAATAAGCTATTTCTAATTCACATCTGTTCTAATCTCACGTTACTTTTTGATACCTAGAATTTACAAGACCATCCACAGGCCACCCTATGAAATTGTTAAAACCGAAGACCTGTCCAGCAACTTCCTGTCGCTTCAGGACATCCAGACTGCATACTCTAAATTTAAACAGCTCTTTCTGATAGGTGAGAAGAATGCTGAGTAAAAACTTCCTGTCACATGGGGAAAGACATGCCACGTGGATCAGGTGAAAGTTGGTGCCTTTTCCCTGGGCTCCGTTTGCACCAGAGGCTCGTGGCCATGAGGGTTGATGTGGAGCAGAAGGGTGGGCTGGTGGCCAAGGGGCCGTGTCATTGCCACGTCTGCCCCCCATTTTTCTCCAGGCTTTTGCCCCACTGCCCCTTCTCGTGGCCGTGAATGCAGGCCCACCCCTCCTCTCCATCCCCAACACCCCGGTTGCCCAGAGGGGAACACTGGGGCTTCTCCCTTTAAAAGTTGTGGGACTGTGCAATGCCAGTATTCACTGGCTCTCTCACGGTGATTTATAAAACAAATGGTCTGTTTTTGTTGGTCACTTGTTGAATGGACCTCCCTGCCCCCGCCCCAAGTGGAAGTCTCTTTTTTCCTTTCAGATTAAGCAGAAACGGAAAGTAGGAAATGAAGTATGCACATCCCAGCCTCCCCCACTTCCCTGCCTAGGCTGCCCACTATGAACAGTTTAGGACTTGAATCCAGTTTGACCAGCTCAGTTATCTATTCTCCTCGTTCTTCAGTCAGTCTGTATTACCATCTGAGATTGGTCACATTTACATGTAGTTTTTTCTAACATGGACTTTTTAGCCTAGCTAATTCCAGCTAATTTAGGATTCATTCATTCAGCTGATGTTTATGGAGTTTTCATTAAATGCACTGACTATGGAGGTATTTGAGATAAAGATGAATATGACACCCAGGGACACAGCAGTGTCCGCCTCTAAGGAGAACACACTATGTTGTGTGTTATAAAATAGGTTTGTAAAAAGCAGGGACCTGGTGGAGAGAGATACATTGCACTAGTTTATTTTTTGTTTTTTTTTGTTTTGCAGATCTTAAATTTTGGGTATTCTACACGTTCAGAGAAACCTCTCTAGTAACAAACAATAGAAATGATCCCTGAACGTATAGTCTTCACTCACTAGTTGTTGCAGGATTGTGATTCTACACTTCCGTTCTCATCTTCCAGGACTCGCAGAAGTGTCTGCCTTGTCACTGATTTGAGTTTGCAACTTTGACATGTCTTAGATGTCTATGAAACGCAGGGTTCCCTGTATCAAGGTGGGTGGGGGGGATGGTGTAGGAGTGAGCAAGGAAAATGTGTTTGTGTATTTAGGATTCCAACAGAAGCCAAATCTCCCCCTTTGGGCTGCCTGGCATCAGGATGTATCCTGTTGCATTTTTCACTACTAGGAACAGTATAGCCTGGGTCCTGACCATTTCTGCCTAAAACATGTTACTCTCCTTGTTGAGTTAAAAGGTGGACTGTGACTTTATATACATACTGTGGGGCACTTTTTATTTGAGCAATAAAAATCTAAAAAATCCATTTCTGACTGCCACCCCCTTCCAGGGGCTTACAGTTCAAACACCATTTCAGCTGAAGTCTGGAAATGTCCTTTGCTTAAAAGCAGAGATCTGTGCTTGGAGTCCGCAGTCCAGGTCCAGGACTGACTGTCTGAACAGCATGCTTGAGTAGCACAGCTTTTTGGTGGCAGATGTGGAAGAGAACAGTGACCTGACTTCTTACTCTCTTTTCTTTTTTCAGATAATAGTACTGAATTTTGGGACACAGATATAAAATGGTTTTCTCTGTTGGAAAGCAGCAGCTGGCTTGACATAATCAGGTATTTCAAGCCATTCTTTTGCTCATGAATTTTATAGTTCTCCAATTCAAAGTAGTAAAGCAAATTGACAATTTAACTGTTACATTTCACAGTTAACTGTTCTTTAGATCACATGTTTCTTCAGGGCTCAGCTGGATTTTACGTGTTATGTATTCTGTGCACATTTGATCTGAATTTATAGATATGCTACCTGCTCAGAAGGAGATCCCTGTAGGCTCTAGACGAGGCATTGAAAGACTGCAGAAAAGGGGGCGTGGCAACCCAAGATCCTAACTGAGGCAGCGGTGCTGGCCTCCAAGCAGGAACCAAGATTGTGAAGGGGAGGGATGCTGACTTTTTACTGAATACCTTTTTGAACTCTGTGTCTTGTTTGTATATTACCTATTTAAAAATTATTGTGGGGTGTGATCCCAGGACCCTGGCTAGGATCATAACCTGAGCTAAAGGCAGACGCTTAACCAACTAAGCCACCCAGGTGCCCCCCCCCTTTTTTTTTCATAACTTTATGATTAATCTCAACTAGTCGTTTTGGGTTTTGGAATTAGGTTGAGAGTCCCGGAGACAATTACATTCCCTTCCCTACTTCGTATATTGAATAGCTCCTCTCTGTTGCTGTTAAGTAAAGGAGAGGGCAAAGGGGGAGGCACAGAACAGAAATGATGATCAGGGGTGCGAGAATAGCTCTGGCGGCCCTAGGATTCTTTTGAGAAAAGAGAAGAATTCTTCCCTTGACCTGGCACGGCATCTCTCTCAGTTCTGCCGGTGAGGTTTGTGGCACAGAGCCTCAGCCCTCCAAACACTTATTAACAAATACATTTTGAAGAGCCTGCCACGTGTCCCACAGTTTGAATGTACAATTGCAAACAGTGATAAATGTCAAACAGAAAAGAACCCTTTGTTATGTGGGGTGGGCAGAGAACAAATGAAGAGTCAGCCAAGGGAGGCACCCCTGCAGGCAGGGAATAGCATTGTGAAGCCCCTAGTTATAAGTAGAGAACAGTCGAAGCTGTAAAAGGAATAGTGTGTACAGAGACAGACAAAAGGGATTTCTGGGCATATTGGATCTTGTCAGCCCCACTGACACATTTGGCAAGTGACCTTGAATTAAATGATGTGGGCGTGCGGCACAGTTTCTGACGTGGGCATTGGTGGGTCTTACTAGGACTCGCAGGCCAGACTCAGGCATGGATTCTCAATAAGAGTTTGTAGCTTAGAACTCACCTAGGAACATTTTAACATCAGTTTTGGGATTCCCTTCTGAAATTTTTCAGTTTCTAATTGGCAAATGAGTGTGTTGCAGTATCTGAATAGTGTAAATGGTAATTGCTTCTTTTCTGGAGGATTTCAAGTGGAAAAACAAATGAGATTGTCTCCCTTAGTCTTCAGTTTTCTGTCTCTAAACTTCTCATCGTTTTGATACCAACCTCAGGAACTAACGCCCCTTTTCTTGTCTCTTTCCAATTTAGACGTTGCCTGAAAAAAGCAATAGAGATTACAGAATGTCTAGAAGCACAAAACATGAACGTTCTTCTTTTAGGTAATATATTTAAAGCACAGGAGTGGTTTTCATTTTCCTTCAGTCGAGATTCAGTTTCTGTATACACAGCTTCAAGGAATTGGAATTGTCTTATAAAAGGAGTGAGCTAGTGTAAAAATCCTTCCCATTCTTTTCTACTCTGACCTTGGAATCCTTTGCGTTTGAGGTCAGTGTTACAGTTTAAAAATAAATCCATCATTTAGAACTTGACAGACCTATTTGCAGCCCAAGAAGGAATTGTTTGGTATCTTCACCAAAGGTCACATTTCCAGTGCTTTGGATTTTGTTTTATATTAACTCAACTTGGTTAAAGTTAAAACCTTTTGATAATTCCTTTTATATAAAAGAAACCTGTGGATGGTTTAATTGTTATTTTTATACCTTTGCGTTTGACAACCTTGTGCAGTTGCCATAGAAACTCTGTGTGTCCTGATTTCCTTTTCCTCAGTGGGCTTAACTTGCTATTCTTGCCAACAGGACATACACATACAGAATGTGTAAAAACAGGTGTAAACCGCTTTTTTAAAAAGGTTGCTGAAATTGATTAGATCTCAGCTAAAATATTATGTTTGCTATTTAGAATATTTTAAACTTTTTATAGACCTGTACCTCCAATTCAGTAGATCATCTCATGCTTTCATATCCTGAAGCTTTTACCATTGCTCTGATGCACTCCATGATTGCTGAAATTTAGCCTCTGTGGGCAGGCTGGAAAATGTGTCTGCCTGGGGCTTCTGTACCACCTGATATTGGCTTAGTGACTTCAATTTGAATACATTTATTGAGCACCTGTCATGTGCAGAGCTGTATACTTCTGCCTTCTGGAAATTTACAGGCTAATGAGAGAGTTGACCCGAGCACGTTATTGAAAAAGACCTTACCACCAATGGCAGAACAGAGTACTGACTGAGTAACCTGGTACAAAGGAGGAGGGATAGATTGGGGTCTGAGAGATGGAAGTAAGGGCCAGACGGCACTAGTCAGAGTCACATAAAACGAAATCTGCATCTTTGGCTGAGGTGTGAGAAGTCACTTGCTCCCAGATGGACCACTGAGTTGTCTCCTTTGAAATCTCCTTTTCGAGCCCTTCTTCCTGTTACCGACACATACACTATTAATATCCTTCAGACGCAAGGAAGAAGATTCCCTTAAAAATGAAACTTGTTTCAAAACCTGATAGCACTCCATAGACGAAACTGTTTCTTTGAAATGCATGCGCTCCCGTAGTTGAGACCTGTCTCCTGGGAGAGAAACAGAAGCCCAAGCGTAAGTCTGGGCCATAGCGCCTCACCGTGACAGGGTCAGAATGAGAATTTTCTACCTACTGAGAACTCATTCTCAAGTTTCTCTAACTGCACCGCTACTAGCACCGTCCTCCCCACGGGCATTTTTAAATAGCAGCTTGGTTGCACTTCTTTTTGTAAAGGGGAAACCATGGGGATATAGACCCTCCCTTTTAGGATCTCAAAACTCTAAGGCAAATGTATGGATGGTGATGTATGCTTTTATTAACTGTGAGTACTGAATGCTAAACAAGTGTGTGCACTGAATTTTCATCGTACAGGTTTTGTACGGTGCGTTCCGGGGGTGGGCGCGTGGAAGTAGCCCGAGGGGAGTTTCTCCTCCAGGCTAGGCAGAGGGAAGCAGGCACCTCTGTGCTCTCAGACAGAAACAGAAAGCGCTGTGGAGCTGGGAATAAGGGGGTCCAGAGAGATTACACTTCCTCCAAAGCAGAGGGAGTGTAGGAAAGGAGCTCCGAGGTGAGTCTGAGAAGCAGCCGAGCCTGGGAACGGTGGGTCCAGTGAGGACTTTTGCTTTGACACAGCAACTGGAAGAGGTTTGAAGTTGGTCTGTGAAACCCTGCAGGCCGCCATCTTGTGTATGGTTCTGTCCTCGTTGTGTGGCACGCCGGGATGCCCACGTGCTGACAGTGGACTCGGCATGCCACGTTTTATTCATTCAGTAAGCAAATCCATGCTTAGGGCCAGAGTATGCGGGAACCTGTACGAGACTGGCCAGAAGCTGTTTGTCCCTCGGTCTGAAAACACTACCTTGTTTCCCATTGGCATCTTTGGCTTCAGAGAAGTAGGGCTTGACTGTCAGCAAGCCGACTCTGGTTTGGGGAACCCTGTTATTAACTGTGCAAGTGCAAGCGCTCTGGGCGGCTTTAAATAACTTCACACTCTCCTGCCTCTTTGTACTGGCTCTGGGGCCCCTCCCAGAGGAGAATGCTTCCGACCTCTGCTGCCTCCTTTCCTCTCTGGTGCAAGTGATGATGGACCCCCACTGCAGAACCAGGGTTGGTTTCCAGAGCCTCGTCCAAAAGGAGTGGATCATGGGCGGGCACTGTTTCCTGGATCGCTGCAACCACCTCCGTCAGAGCGACAAAGAGGAGGTGAGTGTCCTCATCACAGAAGTGCCCGATCTCTTAATACCTGTCTTCAGATGGAGGGTTACTGCTTGCGAAGTGCATGCCGATGGCCTTGTTAGGAAGGCTGTGTTCACTTCACCGTTTGATGACTCTGAATGCTTTAAACGGTATCGAAACCCTTCCCCAAGGAAAGGGATGTTAGTGTGTTCAGATCCTTCTCTTTTAAATTGTGTACTCTAAGGGTGGATATTTATTTCATGATGGGAATAACATTGATTTGTAAAACTTAAAAAATTAATTCAGAGAGACTCCTACAATTTCTGTTAAGTTAATCTTTGCAAAAAAAATGAATATCCAATATACAAGTTACTTACAGAAAATACATAACAACACATAAATCTTTTCAGAATAAAGCATGGAGTTACGTTAATGCCATCCATTACCAGGACCTTATCGGCAGTATATGTCCGCTGTGTACACCTCTTCTGCTCCTGGCCATGTGAATTCCCCCACGCATGGACCCTGAATTCAAGCGTGGGCGAGTTAGCATTGTAGTTTAGTTAGCCCCCCAGATTGAGGCGTACTTGTCTCAGCTGCAGCTGTGCAAACTACTTTGACTACATTGTTAATGATTGTGGAAGGTAAATGAAAACAGGTGAACTTTCTTTAGTTAAGTCACCTGCGAAGTTCCTGTATTCTAGGAGCAGGACTCATGGCTGTTCTTACTCCAGATAATAAATGTGGCTGTGTCTGGTGGGGAGAAGCTTTATGGAATTAACAGAAATTGTAGGAGTCTCTCTGAATTCCTGGAAGACCCCAGCTTCTCTAGCTAGGCTTGAGGTTTCTTTCAGGCCTGGTCTCTGCTCATCTGTGTCCATTCATTAAGCTGAATGGAAATCACCATTTTCAGTCTTGGAACTTTCTGAGGACTTTGCAAGGTTAATGGGACTCTAACATGATGGGCAGAGAGAGCTGATACTTTGTGGGGAAGAGTATGTTTTGGATATCTTGAGAAAGTGAGGACTGACAGGTACTGTGGGGGGCGGCGGGAATAAGTCCAAGAGCAGATCCAGTCTGATCTGCTTTCACCCAGCCTTTGGAGAAGTCAACCAAACTTTCTGAACCCATTTTCCTGCCTCTACAATAAGGTTCAGATATTTTCCATTCTATTTAAATGATACATTGAGCAGAAAATGAGGTGTGAAAGTTGCTACATAGGGGCACCTGGGTGACTCAATTAAGTGACTGCCTTTGGCTTGGGTCATGATCCCGGGGTCCTGGGATCGATCCCCCATTGGGCTCCCTGCTCAGCGGGGAGTCTGCTGCTCCCCCTGCTTGTGCTCTCTGTCAAATAAATAAATAAAATCTTTTAAGAAAAAAAAGATGCTGTGTAAACATTTAACATCTCAACATCAACATGTTGGTTTTTCTTTTTTCTTCTATTATGTGACTACTTTTATTTCATTTCTTGAAGTTTTTAAATTTTATTTTTAAAATTTTTAAATTATTTTTATTAAAGATTTATTTATTTGGGGTTGGGGGCAGAGGGAAAAGGAGTGAGTATCCCACGCAGACTCCACACCAAACAGGGAGCCCAACATGGGGCTTGATCCCACGACCCTGAGATCAGGATGTGAGCCGAGACTAAGAGTCAGTTGCTTAACCGACTGAGCCACCCAGGTGCCCCAATTTCTTAAATTTTTAAAATTATGTTTTTATATTTGAGTTTAGTTGACACCATATTGGAGTTTTAAAGGAAAACGGGGTGGTCTGCTTTGTGATATAATGGATGCAGCCCTGCATTTGGTTCAAGAACTGGGTTCCCAACTCCTGTCTCTCTTCTGAGCTGCATGGGGTGTGGGCAGCCTCCGTAAGGGAGAGGCCGTGACATGGCTTGTCTTCCCCGGGCAGGGTCACTAGCTCAGAAGGACAAATACTTTGTGAATGACAAAGCACACTGGAAACCTCTCTCTGCCTTTAAAGGGCTTGCCCCTAGGTAGCTAATAAAGGAGGCTATCAGTTAAAAAAATCTGTACACTTGTGAAAAAAAGCTTAGAAACTCACCTTTGCTGCTTCTGCCTTCTTTCCCGTTGTCTTTCTCTTCTGTACCGTCATTGTGGGGGCGGAAGCAGGAATATTGACAAAATTCAAAATATTGAGTACAAGTGAGAAGAATGGAACTCTTTTTGGAGGGGAGATAACAATTTCACCTAATTGGGGTTCGAAGTGTTCCCTGTCATCAAAATCAGTTGCAAATGCTCATCTGTCAATGCTTGATCAGTAATGAGATTTTACATATTTCATCTTTGAAATGTCTTTTACACAGATCAGTACTGCCAAATACTGACAGCAATCTACAGGCATGTGACTTCAGTTGAGCATATTCATTGCTTGGAATGGGATGGAGTCTACTGTTGTTTCCCAGAGAATATAGTGCCCAGAAGTGGTTATTCCACAGCTGTTGAGATGGTCACCCCTGAACTCGGGACAGCTGGCCTTGGCCTTTCAGTGCCTGCTCAGTAACATGTATCTTGTTTTCACATAGGTTCCTGTGTTCCTGCTTTTCTTAGATTGCGTCTGGCAGCTGGTGCACCAGCATCCCCCAGCATTTGATTTCACAGAGACTTACCTGACTGTTTTGTCAGATAGTCTGTACCTACCTATTTTCAGCACCTTCTTCTTCAATTCGCCTCATCAAAAATATATTAACATGGTAAGAGTCCCTCTTAGGAACCTGTGCATTAAAGAAGCCCTGACTCACAAGTAGATTGCAATAGTTTTGATGTAAAGAATATTTGTGTAACATTATACTGGGCCCTGTTTTGAGTGCTTTCTGGGTATTGATAATTCTCACAGCACCCTGTGAATTTATTCTTAGCCTGAGATGCTGAGGTACTGAGAGGATGAGTAATTGGCCCAAGGCCACACAGTAAATACCGGAGCTGGGAGAGCAAGTGTTGGAGTTGAGGAATAAAGCAAAATTAAAAGTTGTTCTTTGTAAAGACGGTCAGCCTTCTCTTCCATTTACCTAATGCCTGGAGTTACTCTAAATAAAACGGAGATGAGGCAGAGCAGGGAAGCTAGGTTTTTACTTTCCATCTTAAAATCCTTTAGTCTCCCTTGAGGCCTCGCTCCTGGGAGTTTTTACTTTCTAACCACGCCGAATGCCTTTGGCCGGCTTTTCTGCTGGCCTCCGGGTTTGCCTGAGCTGGCTCTTTGGGAGTAGTTTTAGCAAATTCCTCAGTGAAGTGGGGGCACAGAACGTGGCCTTCCAGTCACACAGCCCCAGCTCCAGAGCCCAGCCCATCGCTCACCAACTTCAAGAGCTCAGGCAGTTCACCTCAGTTTTCTTAGCCTCAGTTTCCTCAAATATAAAATGTGAGAAATAGTGACCTCACAAGGGTTGTGGTGAAAGTGCCCATCAGTGGGTGGCACGTGGGCCACTGGAAAATAAGGACCTTCTTCCCTCTCTCCCTTCCCACCCAAAGCCTTAAGTGAACAACCACTGACAGCCGCAGCCTTTAAAAAGGAGGACCCCATGAGTGGTAGGTCTCCAGGCAGGGCAGGAGCGCCCTTCCTGGTGCATGTCTCTCAGCATTGTGTGCTTGCTCTCCCCAGCCCTCCCTGGGAGCCGTCGTGACCTGTGCTTGTTTTGGCAGGGTAGGGAAAGCCAGGATACACAAAGCAAGCCTTTGAATCTGCTCACCGTGTGGGATTGGTCCGTACAGTTTGAATCTAAAGCCCAGATGTTGCTCAAAAACCCTCTTTATGTGGAAAAGCCAAAACTGGACAAAGGCCAGCGGAAAGGAACGCGTTTGAAAGTAAGATGACCACATGTCTAACTCCCTTCATCTGCCCAGAGATCCCCATGTATGTAAGGAGGAAAGTTGCATCCTGTAACTACATTCTGTAAACAGCTTGCAGAGTCCAGGTTTGTGGTGGGCGAACTGTCAGGGCCCGTGAGACTCGCTTGCTGTCAACACATCAGCCTTTGCCTGAGTGTGGTTAGGGCAGAAGGAGCATTACTTGTGGGTTTTGCTCTGTCTGTACCAGTTCATGTCTTCAGTAGCAAGACCTTTCTTCGTTGAGCGGTGTCTACAGTCTCTTCTGTTAAGGGCTGCACAGTCTCCAGCCCAGCTCCCGCGCTCCCCCAATGGAGCGCGGCTATGTCCCGGTATTTACAAAAATAGGCACTGGGCCTGATCGGCCATGGGCTGTCCTTTGCTCACCTGTGCTATAAACCAAAACTGTCAGATTATTTGGATATCCCTTCAGATATTTGTTACTCATTGTCCTAGTTATTAAAACCCCCAAGTTCCCTAGATGATCAGTGATTGCCATGCCATCTCCTAACTCTGCTCCTGGCCTGGAATTTCCCCCCATCAGACCCCACAAAGGGGAAAGCAGTAGTGATGAATCCCAGATCAGTGTGTGTGTCTGCCTTCTCCACTGCCCTTCTTCTGATCCCACCTGCCGTCCAGGGAGCCTGGCCAGTCCTGGTGCGGGAGGTGCTCCGTTCTGAAGAGGCTTGGGGGCCCGGTGAGCCGCAGCCCGCTCTTGCAGAAGATACCAGCTGCTGAACAACCTCGAACTGTCGCTTTCCTCTTTCAAGGGTCGTCAGGGCCGGGGTGGATGTTTCCCCTCGCAGCTTAGTCTCTTTCCTGCCCACTGGACCAGAACTGCCCTGAGCTCTGGAACAGCTCAGCCAGAGGTCCATTTCTCCTCAGTGTGCTGTGCCCCCTGGTGGCTGTGTGCACACTTTTCACCTGTTCAGGATCTCAGAAGTGCCCTGGGCTCGAGGGGGCAAGGGACCTCAGAGACAGCGAGGCCTGATTCCGTATGTCGCATGGGAGGAAACTGAGGCTCCCCCTGGCAAGGCTGGATTTCATTTCTGTGATCAGATCCAGTTTTTCTCAGTGTCCCTTCTTGGAATCAGGAGCAGATGGCCGAGGCTCCAGGAGCTGACTGGTGCAGGAGGTTTGAGCCAAAGAGTTGGAGAATCTCAGATTGTATCAGCTGAAGTGGAGTTGGGGCTGGGGCGACGAGGAACTTTGAAGCCTTTGTGTTAGGACATCATGTGTCGGGCTTCGGGCCCCTTGTTGAGTGGGCAGATGGCCTTGGAAAAGTTCTGTAGAAACGAAAGAGGCTGTGGCTGAGCAGCATGCAGCACTGCTTTTGCATTGCCATCTGAGGCGGAGGGCCCCGCTCACACATGCGATCCCAACCTCAGCCTTGACCAGGCATGCCACTCCTACCCTGCCCTTCTTGAACCCACCGTTCACTTAGGGGTTGAGAGGAGGGGCTTCCAAGACAAATGGAGTTCTGTTAAGAGCCCAGTCTCTCGAGCCAGGCTGTATGTGAAACCACCTTTAGCACTTTATAGCTGGGGTCTTTGTGTATTACTGAACCTCTGTGCCTTGGTTTCCTCATTTGTAAAATGGGGCAGGAATAGTGACTCAGAGAATTGGCCAAGTCGATGCACGTAAAGTACCGAGCACAGAACCCGGCAGGCGGCAAACACTCAGCGACTGTTCGCTTCCACCCGCACGCCGCTGGCCCCCCAGCCCGGACTGAGTCACCTTGACCCTTGGGGAGGAGAGAGGCCCGGCTGCTGACTCCTGGCCCTTGGCGCTCCTATCCCCGCTGGAAAGTCAGAAATCCTGGTCAGCTCTGAGTTGTGGCATTGTGGCTGGTTTTGCTTTTCTTCTTTATATTTTTATTGTTATTCTATATTCCAAAATAAAGGGTGCTTCGCACCCCCCCCCCAAGGAAGAACCCCTGGCAGGAATATATTAGAGAGTTATAGGGCTAGCCTGCCCATAAAACTGTTGACTTATTTCAAACGGACACCTCAGGAGCAAAAGAGCTGGGGAGAAACAGCGTCTCCCCACACTGCTGGCCTCTCCATTGGGCCCCGGGGGTCCTTGTAACCTTTTACCTCTTTACCCATCTTCACGGCCCCGTCCTGGTGCTCCTCAGTTTAGAACACCTTGCTTTGGCTGCAGGTAGAATTACTGGGGAGGAAAATAATGGCAGTGCTCTTGCATCTTCTACTCTGCGCAGCTTGTCAGGCAGGAACATCTGACCAATTTAGCCAGTTCCTCAAATTCCTTCTGCTCCCACTTGTCTTTTTGTCCAAAAGAATCTTGATGACATAGGCTTGGACTCCCACTGGATGCCTGATAACCTGCAAATGTGGTTCATTAAAGTGATGGGATCTTCAGGTAGTCAGCACTGCTTCCTCCCAGGTGTTCAGACTGTTCTTAAGGAAGAAACATTTTGCTGTCCGGAAAATGAATAGGCCTCCCGCCCGCACTGCCTGAATTCAGCAGCCCAGCTGGAGTTAAGCTTGTTCTTCGGAAGTGCTCACTGTGCCTGTGCCAGGAGAGGAGGAAGCAGAAAGCTGCTCTTCCTGTCACAGCCCACCTTGCTGCACAGCCCTGCACGTGCCTGCTTTCAGCTCTGTCTCTGAATGCCACGTGCATCTAATGTTTGCGTCATGGAATAAACAAGAACCCCCTCCCCCCCAGGTTACTGCTTTTTAATGATTTTTCATTCACATGGCCATCCTGATTTCTCATGACTCCTGTTAAAGCAGGATTATGCCCCCCCCGCACCCCCGCCTTTTTTGAGAGGAATGATTGTAAGTGCTGTTAGCTAACCAGAGATTTTTATTTGTGTTTTCTCTCAAAGCATCAACGACAACTTTCTTTACCACTCACCCAATCTAAATCATCTCCCAAAAGAGGATTTTTCAGGGAAGAAACAGATCATTTAATTAAAAACCTTCTGGGCAGGAGAATTAGCAAATTAATTAATTCTTCTGATGAGCTGCAAGACAACTTTCGAGAGTTCTATGAAAGCTGGCACAGCAAGCCCACGGACTACCACGGTCTGTTGCTGCCTCACATCGAGGGGCCAGAAATCAAAGTCTGGGCCCAGCGCTACTTGCGCTGGATCCCAGAAGCCCAAATCCTGGGTGGTGGCAGAGTGGCCACCATGAGCAAACTCTTGGAAATGATGGAGGAAGTAGAGCACTTACAAGAGAAAATCGACGAGAGACACCACAGCCAGGGGGCCCTCCTGGCAGAGGCCCCCCCGTTGCTGAGGAGCTCTGCCCGCTTGTCGTCTTTGTTTCCTTTCGCTCTGCTGCAGCGACACTCCTCGAAGCCAGTCTTGCCCACCAGTGGCTGGAAAGCTTTGGGCGATGAAGACGATCTGGCCAAACGAGAAGATGAGTTTGTGGATCTGGGGGATGTGTGACTCGTCTGTTCAGTGATTGTGAAGGAAGAACGCTGAGGGCTGGGACAGGAGTCGAACACATTTGATCTCCCGATTAGTGGGTCACGCTGAAGCTTACTGCTGCGGGGGGCGCGGGGAGGCATTAGTCCAGGGCTCTGTAGCAGGAAGCCTGGACCTTCAGGAAAAGAGCTGGTTCTCGTGGTTTTTACATGCTCCTGAGAGACTATGCAATTAAAACCGTATTTCTAGTATTATTAATCAAAAGGAATTACTACTTGACCCATAATAGAACTGTGGCCATCGTCTGATGCGTAAGTATTATACAGAACCTGCAGTGGCGGGTTTACTACTAGAAAGGGCTTTGGTCAGACATTCTTGGACTCGATACTTTCTTCAGATCTTTTTTGTGCCAAGATTTTTTTTTTTTTGGTGCCGAGATAATTTATCTAGTTGTTGGGAAGAGTGTGTGTCTCTCTACCCATCTTTAGTTCGGAGCAGTTTCAGCTTTATTCAGTGTGTGTATGGCAAAGTGAAAGACTCACATAGAGGTATTAAGATGTGTGGCATTCATTTAACCCATAGGATTTTTCCCTTCTGCATCCTCTCGCCTGAGAAAAGCGGGGGGAATTCCATCCATGGCACCCATCCTGACATTTCCGGCCATCCCCCCTCCTGCATAGACTGTGTCACTTTGTGTGGGGCTGGTGGGCTAGCCGACCAGTCCCACTGCCCTTTCCATGTGCTAAAGCTCCAGGTCTCCCTCTGCCCACTCCGTCCCCCTCACTGCCGTCCCCATGCTCCCTGCTGTGGTGCACCGAGTCCCAGGATCTTGCTGCTAAATCTGTTGGTTAAACTGGGGGAATCCCTTTGGTTTGCCCGAAGGAGCTCCCATTCTACTGGAGCCTCTTCAGTGTTTGAAAGTGCTTTGCCTTTTTCTAACAGTGTGCTGAGGCTTGGGGCCATTTGTGCCGATGGTCCTCCGCCGCAGCCCTCACGCGGTCTCCCCAAAGTCTCTGTAACTGCGCAGGCGTGAGCAGGATCACTTCTGAACATGGCTTCCGTAGGGAGGCCTCGAAGCATGAATAGCAGAGGTGATGGTTCTACAGTACCTCAACGATTTCAAAGCCATAGAAGAAACTTGATTATGCCTGGTCACCTTGGATCTGCTGTCTAAATGGTATATATATTTTTAAATGCAGGAAAGTACACTTTTAAGGACCAGTTTTTTCTTTCTCAGTGGAACCCTGTTAAAAGCCACAAAAGGAAGGGGGGGGAAACTAATGTTAGAATGTTTCAAATTGAATGTTTGCCTTTTATATACATTTGCTCTCCAGTGTAGATCCCAATTTGAATGTTACATGTTTAGGAAAAGTTCAGTTGCTTGAGGGCAATAAGAAATTTGGAAACTGTTGACAAAGAAGTTTCTCAGTTTGCACTGAATCGTCTTTTTGTATGTACAAGAAATTGCTTTGCTGTTCTCCCCATTCCACGTTGACATGTGAGCCAGGTTGGTCTGTTAAAATGACAGAGGCTGAGAGGGCAGGATTCATGCATTGGGGGCCAAATGCATGTCTGGTCTTGGTTGCCTTAAGAGTCTCACTAGTGATTTCAGTGTTAGGCTTGCAATAGGGATTTTAAAAATACACTAGTTCGTTAGCTACCTTAAAATACGTTCTGTGGGCCTTCTTAAACTAGCACTAACCTCCACTTCTCTGCCCCACTGCCTCCCAAATACACTATGGAGCTAACTATTTTTGTTACCATATTATAACGTGAATATTTATACAGTAGCCTCTTCAATCTTAGAATCTTAGTAATTTTCATTCCAAAAATGCTTGGTGTGATGCTTTACACTCCACAAAGTATGGTTTAAAGGCACAAGGTCATGGCCCTTGACATAGCAGTTGAATGTGTGTTGAAATATTTTTCTATAATTTTTTTAAAAAGTACAATAGAAAAATAAGCTGTTGTAACGTGAGGTCATGACACTTTATGTATTTATATTTGAAATCAGATTTCTATAAACTTGTATTTGTGTACAGAATTCTCATTTATATATTGTGACATTTTTATTCAAGATTGAGATATGGATTATGCTTAACAGTAAAAGCTGAAATGAGACCATTTACTTTGTTTAAAATGCTGCACTGTGCGAGTTTGGAAATGTACATTAATTTACTGTATATAATATCTTGAGTTTGTTTATACCTCCCAAGTTTTTACACTGAAGATAAATTAGCTTTAAAAACATTCAAAACTTTTTTTTTTTAAAGGGAATAAGCTGTTGGGCTGTTATCTGTATAAATGTGCTTTCTATTTTCCCAATGTACAATGAAAGTTTATACTTGTATCTCGCTGCATCATATCTGATTGCAGAAATTAAAGCACAATTTACAAGCAATACTGCATTCGATGTGGTTGATATAACATGGAACAGTTTCATTCAGTGTGCGTGTGTGTGTGTGTGTGTGTCTTGGGTGGAGTTGAATTGGTTGGTTGTTGGTGGTGGTGGGAAACCAACAACTAAATAAATACTTAAAATTTTAGGCGCACCTGGCTGGTTTAGTCAGTAGAGCATGAGACTCTTGATCTTGGGGTCGTGAGTTTGAGCTCCACGTTGGGTGTAGAGTTTAAAAAAATTTCAGGTGGGGTTGAAATACTATGAAGAACAATAAAATAGAGCAAATAAAGGAAAAGGGCTTTTTAAATATGTGAAATAAAATGCTGCTGCTTTGCTTTTGAGGGCATATATAATATGAGAAGTCTGTTTTACTGCTGAAAGAGATCTGAGTTCAGTTAAACCATGAAAGAGAAAAGGCTTTGTTTTTCCTTCCAGAGAGAAGTGAGCTGGCAGAATGGGATGGTGTGTGACGGTAGGATTTTTTCTAATTCGCTTGGTTTAGCACTTGCTAGATTGAGACCTATCACTTGTGTTTGTTGGGAGAGTTCCATTTCCTTGACCTTTCCTATCTGCATCCCTCCCCCTTTCAGGGACAAGAGAAGATGTCCCCCCCCCGCCGCTGCTCACCTCCTATTGTGTCTAGCCAGGCCTAGCTCCCTGTCAACAAGCCAGCTCTGAAACATCCCTGGAACTTAATAAGCTCCCATTGCTACCACATTCTTTTCATTGTTCTCCGATAACTGTTAAGTTCCCAAGTAATATTTAGGACCCTATAGATGAGCAGATTTTGGCCCTCTTTTCCACATTTCTTTAAAAGTTCTTGGACTTTGAGTGGACTTGGTGGTCTCTCTCTCCTGATTTTGATTGTTCCTTGGTTTCCAGGTGAGGGCAGTGGGGGACTTGCAGGGGCGGGTAAAGGGTGGGACATACTTCATCTGATGTGGAACAGGATTGGACAGGGGTTCCTGTTGAGAACAGACCCCTGGCTCCTATGCTGGGAGGGAACTTGGGGGCAGAGGGGGCCCGGCCTGGAGCCCGTTCTCCAAGCCCCTCCTGTGCTGTGGCCGGAGTTGCTCAGCAGAAGGGAAGTCTCAGCCATGTTTGCTGTGCCTATGCCCCACCTGGGGCTCTAGAGCACTTGTGAAGCCAGCCTTGGGACAGGACAGAGGGGCCGACAGGAGCCCCCGCCCCCCCACCATTTCAGGGACGGTCTACAGTGGCCATGGCCTTCCACACATGCCCTTCCAACAGCCTCCCTAACGCCACATACTGCCCTGAAGAATCTTAGGATGGAGGCAGGTGAGGGGAGATCCTGTTTGGTGTGGATTCCAGTATAAGGAGGGCTGTGTATGTTGATAAGCAGCCTAGCCATGGGGAAATATTTTAAATACCATTTATAGATCGAAGAGGAAAATGATTTGTTGGAGTGGTGCTTTTGTGTCTTTAAAAACACAGACTTCTCAGCCGATTTTGTGGTTCAGACCCAGGTTCGTTCTTTTTAATCCTTCTATTACATTGTCTGCCTCTAGCAATTAAGGGATATGAAGTGTATAATCAGATGGAAAGACACACAGTAAGCTTTTTTGGCCTTCCTTTAAGAAAACTTTCCAGTTTGGCTAGCTAGTCTGGTTTTTGTAAAGCAGTTAACTTTTTTTTTTTTTTTGGGATTTTATTTTTTTGAGAGGGGGAGAGAGGGCATGAGAGGGGGGAGTGGGAGAGGGAGAAGCAGGCTTCCCGCGGAACAGGGAGCCCGACATGGGGCTCGATCCCAGGACCCCAGGATCATGACCTGAGCCGAAGGCAGACGCCCAACGACTGAGCCACCCAGGCGCCCCAATTAACTTTTTTTTTAATTTAGATTTGAGTATTAGTTTTATAAAATGCTGTGTAGCTTACCGCCCCCCCCCAAATCCAGAATGGAGGACTCTTCAAATGATCATTTCACTGATGTTTGGGGCTGGGGGAATGTGGCGCTTACCCCCCCTGCCCCGTAAGAGCGTGGTGTGTGGCCAGTCTTGGGTCAGGCAGGAATGCAGACGGAGCACATTTTCTCCCTCAGTCTGCCCCCAAGGACTGGGCTTGGAACACTACTGCAGTCTCTCCAAGGAGACCTGAACGCAGCCTGTCCCCAGACTGTCCAGGGCCCGAAAGCAGCAGGAGACGTCACCTGGCTGAGAGGTGTGGGGCGGGGGCAGGCCAGGAAGGGCCTGACTGAAAGGAAGGTTGAACTCCAGAGTTTTTTTCCTTGAAGTGTAACTGACCTACAATGCTGTATCCATTTCGGGGTTACAACATGTTGGTTTGACAGTTCTGTGAATTGCTGGATGTTCCCCGTGGTTGGCGGCGTCACCCTCTGTCACCATACAACGTCATTATAATATTGACTATTTCCTATGCTGTACTTTTCATCTCTGTGACTTCTTTTATAACTGGAAGTTTGTACCGCTTAATCCCCTTAATTTTGCCTATCCCCCACCCGCCTCCCCTCTGGCAACCTCCAGTTCTCTGTATTTAATAAGAGTCTGGTTTTTTCGTTCATTTGTTTTGTTTTTTGATTCCACGTATAAGTGAAATCTATAGTATTTGTCTTTCTCTGACTTATTTCACTTAGCATCATATCCTCTAGTTCTATCCATATGGTTGCAGCATTCTGGATCTTGATAAGAGTTGGGAATATGCAGGTGCATGCCAAAACTCAGCAAAAATACAGTTAAGATGTGTTTAATTGTGTTTGAATTTTACATTACAAGAAAGAAAAAAAAAACTGAGCAAATCTTGAGCTCT